ACACATATATCCAGAAATGTCTTCTCCAATAGATTTTATTCTTAAAAATATGTATAGAGGTTTATGACATATACCACTAAGCTTGATCATATACATTTTATTTTAAAAGAATTATGTATTCAAGCTTGAGTTGACCATGTTGTTACATATATGGAAAATGCAGCTGATTTCAGAAGTCAGAACCCCAAAAGATCTAATGTGCATAATAAAAATCACTATCAGCTCAAAATCAGACACAACTATCACAGAACTTAAATTTAAACAGTTATACAGTATTGACCTATTTTGCGGAATATGCTTTATAATTACATCATTATTTTCAATAGACAAAAGAACTTGTCTCTTACGTATCCCAGCTATGCTAGGTGTATTGTGAATATGTCCTTTCTCATTAGTATATATATATATATATTAATTTACTCACTTAGTAGAAATTGAAAACCATGACTGAGGTACTTCCCAACTTACCTCATCAACAACTTCTTCAGGTTTTGTCTTTTTGGGTTGGTTTTCATCAATCTTGGTATTTTTTAGCTGTTCTGCCACTTGTTCAGTGCTCTCTGTGTCCTTAAAGCTCTGGGAAATATACATTTTAGTGATCTACCTAAGGAAGTTATAACAGTGCTATGAAGAGTATTCATTAATCAAATTTCACAAAACGCATTTCTAGATGGTGTACAACAATCTAATAAATAAAGTATATAAAATCCAGATTAAAAAGTAAATAAGATAAAAAGAAGTATACAATTCTAGACAAAGGGGATTAAGAATGGGAATCTAGCAAAGGAGCCATTTGAGCATATCTGCTCACAACAATGTGAAGTCACAGCTGCCAGTTCTTAGCTGGTATTGTCCTTTGTAAACCTCAAGTTCTTACTAAGAATCTAGGAAGTTGTAATCTATCATTGTAGTATATGTGTATAGCTAAGCAATGTGGCCATTTGCAATTGACAGGTAGGTGCTTGTTGTCAATGTGCAATTTGTCAAAGTGCTACCCATGATTTTTTAAATGGACCACCATAGCCATTTGTCGGAAACTTTCAATGTCAGTTTTTAAAACTTGATACATTTGTGATCTTTACCAATTCTTTGTTTTTTATTCCAGCAGTCCCCAACTTCTCCAGCTCTGTAGACCGCCAGCGGCAGCAGGGCCTAATACTGGGCTATAGGTCAGGGGATGGGGACCCCTATTCTATTCTACTGGTATATTATTATAATATTGAATGAATCTGAATACAATCATACTTATTATATTATGAATGTTCAAGGCATTGCACTTATATTTTCTTGGTGCAATCTTAAAATCTTTCTCTAAAATGTCATTATAGTTCTGCCATATAAAATCTATCAGTACTATATAGCAGGTCCAAGTTAAAATGATGACGTTTAATTAAAATAACATTCTGGGAAAAACATTCATGTAACACAAGTTTTAACAGCTAATTTGACCATATTTATATACTGATCCTAGTCTGTCTAGAAGCATTATACATAGGTATTTCTTTAAAAATTGCTTTTTAAAAAAATATTTGTGTTAAAAGTTTTTACTTAATATAAAATATAAATATAAATAAATACAATATAAAAAGTGGGAAAGAAAAGGGGAGAGTAAAGAAAGTGAGGAGAAGGAAAAGAAACAAAAAGTGACTTCCAACTTATTTTGGTGCAGTAAGATACATAATACAGTTACAATGTCAACTCTTCACTTATCTAAAATAGCAAATACTAGTCACTTCTATAACCATTATCTACTTAATAATCAAAACCCAAATCAGAGTTTTATTTTTTTCTTTCAAGCAGAAAGTTTTAACAACAATAAAGAATACAGACAATAATTTCTTCAGCACAGCAGTCTTTTTAAGTAGAGATGCTCAGCACCTTTTGTAGAAAAAATACTATTATCTATCCACTGAGCTTTTCATCCATTTTCAGTTTACAAATAAAGCACTGGTAAAGTAAGGCAAGCATAAGACCTACCTTTGTTTCAAAGAGTTGGTTGTATGCTGTTATTAACTGATCCTTACTAGCTGTTTTAGCCACATTTTTTATCTGACCAAGCAACTTGTGCTCTGCAAGAAACTACAAACAAAACTTAAGATTAGTTCAGCTAGCTGTAATAAATGACAAGTTTTCCTATACTGCAAAGTAAGCTGGAATAGTATATACACTTTACAATATGAAAAACTGAAGTCTATCTAAAGTTTCTAGTAGCATCAAATAAATCCAATTATTGGTCCTCAAATCCAAAAACGTGTGATTCCTATACTATACTATACTAAGAAGTCCATTCAGGGTGGTCACAGCAAATTGCAGAACAGAACCCAATCGTAAAACAGAAAAAGAGCAAAGGGCACAGTGAAAAGAATACTATTCTCTTCCTCTTGGTTTTTCCTATCTACCAATTTTATGGACAATAAACATAAATTCATTTGCAATGTAAGTAAGCCATGAAATTGCAGATCAGCTTTAAATAAATTTAAAAACAAATCACAATATCGCAGTATTCCAGATAAAAATGTCTATGATCTCACGTCCATAAATCTAGATCAGGTAAAATTAAAAATAGAAGATACTGTACAACTGAAAGAAGCTTTCAGTTATACAATATACCCTTCTCCTTTGCACTTTAAACTGAAAGCTTTTTGGATTCATCTAAACTATTTCAATTCGAAAAAATTGAGACTTTTTTTTCATCTCCTAGCAATTCCTTTCATGTTAACACAGAAAGCAGATGAATGGCTACAGGAAGCCCTCTCCAAGCCCTATTTCTTTGTCTTTGATAATTATCCAATGGGCAGTTTTCTTGTATTTCAAAAACTTAAAGGCTATTGCCCATAACAGCAGGTTATTTTAATGTTTTGCTCTGCTCTGAAATTCAAGGCAAAGTATGCGAATGGCATCCAAAGATCACTCAACAAATAACGGGGGGGGGGGGGGGAAAAAAATTAAAATCTGCAAGAATGAATTAGTGCCTGACCAATCTGTGATTATAAATTACTTTATTCTGACCTGTCAGTAATGTAATCAGTAATCCCTATCCCCTCCCAACACCCCACTCCCAGGCGTGGGAAGGCTGTTTTTTCCCCGCTATGCTTACGACCACAACCCAAGCTGGCATGTGGGAATGCCGCAGTCACGTGAAACGAAAAAGGGGAGGAAAGTTAAGGCGACCCCAGTGAAAGGCTCTCATCACGTCGGAAGAGATCGATCTATATGGCTTGCTTCGAAGAGCGGGACAGGGCTAAAGAAAGAGGGAGCCCTGACTAAAGAAAACTGAGCAGCGAGTGAATAATAATAATAATAATAATAATAATAATAATAATAATAATAATAATAACAACAACAACAACAACAACAACAACAACAACAACAACAATGATAATGATAATAACGATAATGATAATAATGATAATGATAATAATGATGATGAGAAGAAGAAGAAGAAGAAGGCAGGAGAGGAGGGGACTTCGCAACTTAGCACAGATCTTCTGGCCAAATGAAAGCTACACGCGTCCAGGCTAGCTCCGCATGAACGTATGAATAGAGCCTGACCACCCGTCAGATCGCGCCTCGGACCCCCCACCCTGTGCGCCGCTTGCTCCTGCAGAAAGTGGACAATCTCCCGCTTGGGCAGCTCCTCGCTCCGCAGCTCCTCCAGGCTCCAAGGACGCGCGCGGTCCGCCATTACATCGCCTCACGCGCGGACGCCTACTAGGAGAAAGTCCGGGAACCCTTCAGCTGCCCCTCACAAGCCCACAGCACGAGATACAATTCCAGCACGCTTGGCGCGCCACGCCGCCTCCATCCGTACGCGGTTCCGTTCGCCTCTTCCCGTTGGGAATGCTGGGTAGCGTAGTCCTACCCGAGAAAGCAGAGGCTCCTGTTACGTGATTGGGTGGACGCAAAAGCCAGACCGTCGGAGCAATTTCTGATGCATGCTGGGTATTGTAGTCTAAGAGATGATAGTCACTTTGAATGTACACTAATCGTCATTAAATTAGAATTAAAATGGAATTTCGTTGCAAGTTGGTTGTTCCCTTTAAAAATCCTACTTCTCTCTCTCTCTCTCTCTCCCTCCCTCCCTCTCTCTCTCTCTCTCTCTCTCTCTCTCTCTCTCTCTGAACCTCCCTCCCTCCCTCTCTCTCTCTCTCTCTCTGAATCTCCCTTTCTCTGGTAACCGAATTAAAAAAAGTGAAAGATCCAAAAAGATCGGTCACTGGGACGAGAGGTTTTGCCTTGAGGTTTTGACTAGAGAGAAGTTCCCTGAAGTTGTGCTCCAGGACGAGTCCGAAAGCTCGGAACACAAAAAACCTCAGCTCCCGGTGACCGATCCAGATTGGATCCTGCAACATTACCCTGGAACAGGGGTGTCCAAGCTGGGCAACTTTAAGACTTGTGGACTTCAACTCCCACAGTTCCTTAGCCTTTTCTTTGCTTTTTTTTCTTTGCTGGCTGAGGAACTCTGGGAGTTGAAGTCCACAAGTCTTAAAAGTTGTCCAGCTTGGAGACCCCTGGCCTGGAACATATTTATTCGCCTTCCTTCGTGAATAAATAGTTTTTTCCCGAACTATTTGCTAAACAAATAATTCCCTCAACACTGTCAAACTACGGTATTCACTAAGGCTGCATTACTATTACTATTAGTCTTCTCATCGTTCCTATCTCCTCCCACTTATGACTGCATGATTGTAACTTTGTTGCTGGTATCCTTACGATTTATATTTATATTGATATTCTTTCCTAATATGATTTGATTGCTTATTTGTACCCTATGCCTATCATTAAGTGTTGCACCTTATGATTCTTGACGAACGTATCTTGTCTTTTTATGTACACTGAGAGCATAGGCACCGAAGACAAATTCCTTCTGTGTCCAATCACACTTGGCCAATAAAGAACTCTATTCAAAAAAAAAAAAAAGGCGAAAGAATGGAGCACGTGATCGATCCGCCCTTCTTGGGCCCGGCCAATCAGGGCCCTCCTCAAAAGCTGGCGGGTTTTTTCGGCGGCCCTCAAGATGGCGTCGCTGCCCATTGAGAGGAGTTGCGGGAGAACGGCGGGAGGGCGGCGACGGCGGGCGCAGCTGAAATGAAAGGCAGAAGCCGGCAGGCCACGCTCTTCCAAGCATGGGGAGCGCAGCCGACTCCCGCGCCGGCGGTGAAAGAGGAGGAGGAGGAAGAAGAAGAAGAGGCGGCGCTGTTGGCTGCAGCCATAGAAGCCGAGGCAACGGATTCGCCCTCCTGGTCCTCTCCGTCAGGCTCTTCTGCTGCCCGGGGATTCATCGGCGGCGCTCCGGGCGCTCTGTGGATGTTCCCGTCCGGCGGCTGCGTGGAGGAGCGCGCCTACCAGGTCCGAGCGTCGTGGGAAGCGCTCCTGGCCAACACGCTGCTCTGCCTGCCGACAGGACTGGGCAAAACGCTGGTAGCCGCCGTGGTCATGTACAATTTCTACCGGTGGTTCCCAGGCGGCAAGATCCTCTTCCTGGCCCCGACCAAGCCTTTGGTGGCTCAGCAACGGGAAGCGTGCGCCCGCCTCCTGGGCATCCCAGCTTCGCATATGGCCGAGATGACGGGTGGGTCACACGCCCTGCCTGTTGGCTCAGGATCGCGCTGTTTTGGCAGGAGCCGGCTTAGTGTCTTTTGTCTGCTCCGTGGGAAGCTAAGCGGGGTGTGTGGATCACTAGTGGGGGGGGGGGGAATGGGATGAGATCTATAAGACTGTGAAGTTGAAAAGAAGTTCCATTTTAGATAGGTTCAGATTAACAGAATTGGAAGGGACCTTGTAGGTGATCCAGTCCAAACCCCCCCAAGCAGGACATCCTGCCTACATCATTTCTGACAGAGGGCAACCCAGTCTCTTCTTGAAAGCTTCCAGGGATGAATTCCAGAATAAGGCATCTCTTTTATCCGTGGAAACGGACCAGTAGTGAAACTGGACCAAAAGGATTCATTTCTTTTTTTATATCCTGGTTGGAAGAAAAAAATCCATCTGCTGACCCAGAACTGCACGCTGTCTTTGTGTGTCATTCTGTTTACCAATAAACTTTCCCCCCACCCCCAAAATTAGACTCCATGTTGTTTCCAGCGTCTTTCTCTGAGCTTGGATTTTTCTTCCAACAGTCCTTTTTATGTGCCTGTTTGGTTGGATCGATACCACCAGCACTTCCAAGCAGCCCAATTCCTGTTGATGTGGTAGGCACCAGCATGCCTACCGTCCCTGTCCTAATATTTCCTTTTTACTCTTACTCTTTTCATGTATTCAAATTATGTTTATACTTTTACCTGTTATATATGCTTGATAAATAAATATTAAGCTGTGACGGGGTTATTGGTTTCATTGTAGGGTTTATTTTGTACCTTATTCAGCAGTCTTGCTTTTAAAAATAAATGCTGAAGAGTTCTGTGTGTATTTCTCTACCCAGAATAAATGGAATGACAGTTGTGATTTAAGAGAAGCACAAGGTAGACCCTTATTAATTTATTTTTAGATGTTACATGCTTATTTGCAAAATCCAGTCTTCTGTACAAAGCTGCATAATTTAGGGAGAAAGCCTGTGGTACCTGTTATTACTGGTATTTCATAGTTTTTTTCCTTATGGATTATTTGCATTCCTGTTTATGTGCTAATTTTTGACTTTCACCAAGTCTGTTTCCACCCAAAATAGTTAAGAGAAATGTGATTCATTCTAGCCATTAAATCCTTTCAGAGTTGGATTTCTTAAATTGTTTGATCCAATTACCCTTTTTCTTAGTCTCAAATATAATTATTCCCACAAACTTGACTACTGTTTACTCAAGTATTTTGGCAGGGGCATTCCCTAACTGTTACTCCATTATCCCAGGATATGCTCAGATTACCTTCTTGGGAGTAATTATCCCCAGTTTTGCATGGTTAAAATGGGTAGAGAATTTAATCCTGATTATCTTGAGTATATTTTTTTACAAGATGAAGTATGTGTGACTGTGTAGGCTTCTAGTACCCAAGCACAGCAAGGATACTGTGCAATCAATCAGTCTTGCTGGGACTTTGAATTGTACTTTCTGTTTTTGTGCAACCATTTGGTGATTTGTAATTCAACAGATTTGGTGGATTTTAGTTTAAAGAAAAATAGTTCAATTGAATTTCTTCAATTTGATCTGTGATTGCTGACCAGTACTTTATGCAAAATGCAAGTAATTTTCTATTTTCAGTATAGAAAAGTACTACCAGTATCATTCTGAAATGCTGTCACTTAAAATATTTTTCTGGCTAGCAATGTAGAAACCTAAAGACTGATTTTTAAATGTATAAGAATGCATTTAATATAAACTTTGCTAGAATATGCAGCTCATATTAATTGCTAGCAAATGGCTGTGCTATGTATGTTTAGACATACAAATTTTTCTTATCTTTTTTTCAGGAGGTACCCAAATTGTTGATCGGAAAGAAATCTGGCGCACCAGAAGAGTCTTCTTTCTCACTCCTCAAATAATGGCAAATGATCTTTCTCGTGGCACATGTCCAGCAGCAGAAATTAAATGCCTGGTTATTGATGAAGCCCATAAAGCTCTTGGAAATCATGCGTATTGTCAGGTAGTCTGGATTGTACAAGTTTATACTCTGTCTTTGAATAGATTATTATTTAAAAAGCAATCAAGTTGGGAGCACATATTAGTCTGGAGCTAATCTGGAGTGGCTTTGACCAGAGCTAAAAATTGATGCAGGCATTCATTCATTCTTTTTTCTGTCACATGCAGCAAGTTGGAGGGAAACAGTTAGCTCTTTCTGTAAGTTTGAACTAATTTCTAAACAGGGATTTTGAAACTGCTGCTCTAGAAATTGTTAAAGTGTCTTCCAGCTGTTGATGAGCACATTAGGCTCTTTTTAACTGATTTAGAATTGTATATTTATATAGACTCTTCAGTGCATGTATTAAAAAAAGACTGCATCAAGAAACAGGATTTTAGGATGAGAGTTGAAAAATTCCACTTTAAATCCTACAGGAAAATACTTTTTTTGCCACTAGGTGGCTCTTAAATGTCATCCTATAGGTAGAAAATCTTTTATAGGTTATAAGTAGTAAATCTTAAAATCGATTCTGTTTTACCTGTAGCCAGTGAGCCCAAGTATGCAATTCTTTTCAATTTTATTTTTTATTTCCAGATTCTTTTTGATGTGGTATTAATCTTCTATTTTTTTTTCTGCATTTCAACATAACAGAAGAGGCATCATATAAATAATACAATTTGAGTACGAATGTTAGCAAAAAAAAGGAAGCATTTTTTTTTAGAAAAAGTATTTGGCTCTAGGGCAATATAAGGAAAAAGGGAAATTAACAGCTATTTTGATAGAAGACATGCTATCTATCTCATCTTTTAAACTCTGATTTCTGGCAATACCAGTAACAGTGGAAGTTAGAACAGGAAGAACCAAAAAAAGTGGAATGTTTAAGTTAGAGTTTATAACCCAAACATTCCATCTTTTTGGGTTCTTACAACTGCAAAAATTGCCCCACTGCAAAGTGGCCATTTTGCAGTTTAGCTTTAGCAGTGCAGTTTCATGATGCTGGGGACTCTGTCTATTTAAACTCTTAACCAGAAAATAAATATTGTCTCTGGATTTTATCACATAGCATAAGTTTACAAATATAGGCTTACACCTCAGAAAGATACACATTTATTTTATGGAAACTGATTTTTTTTATTTTCTGTTAGATGCTACTAATTTGGGAGTCAGAATTTGCTTTGTTCATATTTTGCATTTTATCAGAATTATTTTGGATATAATAGAATAAACTTAGTTGTGATGAAAGTTATTCTCCCTTCAGGTGGTGAAAGAATTATGCAAATATACCAAAGAGTTTAGAATCTTGGCTCTAAGTGCAACTCCTGGCAGTGATGCGAAGGTGAGTCAATTCTTTTTGTTGAGGGAACTAGATTTTCTTAACAATTATACATTATCTCTGTTGATTTTTAAGACTATTGCTATACTTCAGTGCACATCTCAGTTCTCCAAAGTTGTTTTCCTTCTTATGCAGTTTCTTTATCGGCTGACAGTTTAAACTGACAGGAGGGAAGGGCCCAAAACTATTCCTTAATAAGTTCTATTAGTAAAATATTGGAAGCTACTGGGATCTTCTATAGGTACATTGTGAAGTGATGTGCGGTGTTTATGTTTGGGGTAAAAAAAATTTTTACCATTTTGAGGGAAAAGCTTTTAAAATTAACTTAAAAGAAATACAGTCAAGATTATCCCAACATTTTTTTAAAATTTAAAAATCATACATGCACAGCCAGCCTGACATTGGCAATTCTGTGGCGGATAATTAGGTGTTTGCATCTTAATATGTGTGCTACAAACCCCACAGCTGGGACAACTTGAATTTTTTCCTCATTTACTCTTGCTTGTCTATAATATTTACAGACTGTGAAGATTAGTAAAGGATCTGAAAGACTTTAACTCTGAAATTCTGTGTCCAAATACGTCTGATTTTTATTGTGCGAACGTGAGCCTAATCGAGATGCAACACATAATTTTATTTGCCACTTTCTTTAACAGGCTGTTCAGCAAGTTATTACCAACCTGTTAATTTCCCACATAGAACTTTGCTCTGAAGATTCTCCTGATATTCAGCCTTATTCTCATGAGCGACGAATTGAAAAATGTGTGGTTCCACTTGGGAAAGAATTGAGTGAAATTCAGACTGCTTACATACGGGTAAGTTTTAATCTGTTTCAGAATTATGAAAATGAAGGTAGAATTAACATGAAAGAATTAGGTAAAATTTTATTCAACACTTCGTTGTACCCAAAATGGGTACCACAGTCAATAAAGACCACTAGACATGAGGAATGGCATGTTTTATTGGAGTACTCCAGCAAAAGGGTCTCAGCAGCTAAAGAAGCCAAGACCCAGAACAATGCACAAATACAAAATTTATACAGCTATGATTAAGGAAGTTAACACCCTAAGAATAAACCATTGGTTCCTTGGCACATGTTTCTTTTGATTGGTTTCTTCTACTTTACACTCTTTCTTCATACATTGCATGTTAATGTTAATAAACTTTCTTATCAAAAGAGGTGTGCCTTTTACTATTATAATAAGGTAGAGGTGCCCTAGGTAGCATCTTTCTAGCATGTCCTTCTGACTTGTAACTTTCTTGTTGCTAGGCTGTAGTGTCCCACTTTGTTACACTCATCACAGCTGCAACTTTCTGTCTCAGCAATTCCTTTAACAAACTTTCCTAATTCCAGCCTGAGTCCTTCAACTTGAAATATAAGTTAATAATTAAATTTATTTTTCATTTTGCTAAGGGAGTTCTGCTCATTGAGCCTGTTAAATAAAACACTGAATTTACTGGTGTGTTTCTGAACTTACTTTTCAGTAGTTTAAAACTTCAAACAGTGACATGTGTAATTAAACCAGATTGACAATAGAATGCTTAACAGTTGGTGAATTATCCTGATTGGGTTTGCATTTTGCTGCAGTTTCTCATTAAAGTCACTCTAGCATGTCTGATCAAAGGTTGTGGTTTATTCTTGGAAGAATTCAGAGACTGGCTTTGGACAGTTTTGTAATTAACTAGATGCTGAACTTAGAAAAGATATTTGGAGATCTTGTAGTTTCATTTTCTAGTTGGCCCTGTGCAGATCGCATTACAGTGAGCTGTAATTATGATTGCTTTATAAATGTTTGTAACAAACAAATCTTTGTTAAAATTAAAATCTCAGATAGATATTTAAGAGAATCTTCAGCATTAGCCTCAAAAAATAATTGATTTTAGAAGGTAATGATGCGTTATATTTGAGGCCAGATTTACTGTCTTCTGTAGTTATAGTCTTGGTTTTCGTTAATGCATTTAATTAGTTTGATTATTACAAGGCTAACTGCTTTCTTTTTATACCACTATTTGTCCTAAAGGAGCCCAGAATGGTATGCAAAATAGTAAAAACATCCTTCCGTGAAAAATGTTTGAGGAGAGGAGAGGAGAGGAAAGAAAAAGTGAACTCCTATAAAACGAAACAATTGTACAAGGAGTAGAACAGTTATAAAGAATTAAATCAAAAGTGTTGTCCTAGGATAGTTGTTAATGTGCAAGTGTCTGGAAAAACAAGCTGATCCAACAAAGATTAAAACAAGATAGGGAACAAGTTATATTCTCAGTAGAGAATCTTATAACTGGGAATCTGCCTTACTCCAAGTCAGCATACAGTGAGCCATGGCCACCTTTGGGGTCACAACAGGACTTTTCTACCAATCTTATCAGTGGTGAAATCCATTTTTTTTTACTACCGGTTCTGTGGGCATGGCTTGGTGGGCGTGGTTTGGTGGGTGTGGTTTGGTTTGGTGGACGTGGCAGGGGAAGGATACTGCAAAATCTCCATTCCCACCCCACTCCAGGGGAAGGATACTGCAAAATCTCCATTCCCACCCCAATCTGGGGCCAGCCAGAGGTAGTATTTGCTGGTTCTCCAAACTACTCAAAATTTCCGCTGCCGGTTCTCCAGAACCTGTTAGAACCTGCTGGCTTTCATATGGCTTAAATAATGTTGGAGGCATCTTTTCAAATAATTGGGTCCTTTTATTTATGGCTTTGTAGGTTTATGTCAAAATAATGGTGTGGACTTTTATGGCGGGCATGTGATGGGAAGTATTGAGCTTTCAAGGTTTAGTGACTACTGTCAATAAATTTTGAAGCTCAACACTGTGTGCGCTGGATAAATAATTTCTGCAGTGAGCCTTGACTATTGTTTTTTTTGGGGGGGGGGGTTTCCTATGTTTTATTCCATCATGGTCAGGTTGGACATAACTTGTCAGTAGGGGCAAGAAAATGGCAAAGGTCAGCTGGGTGCGGCAACGCCTATGGAGCACAATGTGGCTGGGCTGGGGTATACTGAGCTGAGCTGTGGAGTGGCTGAGTCTTCCAAGACTGGCTGTAGCCTTATGCTTCAGCTCCAGGGTTTCTTGCAGCTTCAGATCCACAGTGCTCCAAGAATCCCCTGAGCTACAGCAAATTCTTTCCCTAATATCCCTGTGTTTCACTACACCAAGAGCCTTGGTGGTGCAGCGGACTAAAGTGCTGTTATGTAGCACTTAGCTGCCAGCTGTCTGCAATTACTGCGAGTTCAAATCTCACCAGGCTCAAGGTTGACTCAGCCTTCCATCCTTCCGAGGTAGGTAAAATGAGGACCCGGATTGTGGGGGCAATAAGCTGACTTTGTATAAAAAAGAACACCGTTTAGGGGTGGCCAAAAGCCCTACTAAGCAGGTATATACAAAAGTATGAAGGCTATTGCTTAACGCATTGTAAGCCACCCTGAGTCTCTGGAGAAGGGCGGCATATAAATCGAACCAATAAATAAACAATAAATAAATAAATACACTGTCCCTCATCTCTCATGCAGACTGTGCCAAGCCTCCCATCTCTCTGTGGCATTCCTCCCTCCGCTTAATATCCCACACATCTGGAGTTACAAGAGTAACCAGGAGTGCCAGGATTGGGATCATTAAGCAATGTGGTCATGTGATATCTCGCTTTACAAGCACACTGCTTAGCAATGGAAATTTCTATCTCAACTATGGTCATAAATTGAGGATTATCTGTATAACCTTTGTATCACTCTGCTCTGACAGCAGCCTTAAAGGGAAAGTAGCTGGTATAAGAGCCTTGGTAGTACAGTGGTTTAAAGCACCCTGTTATTAACACAGCTGCCTGCAATTACTGCAGGTTCGAATCTCACCAGGCTCAAGGTTGACTCAGCCTTCCATCCTTTCTAAGGTAGGTTAAATGAGGACCCAGTTTGTGGTGACTTTGTATAAATATACAAAAGTATGAAGGCTATTGCTTAACGCATTGTAAGCCGCCCTGAGTCTCCAGAGAAGGGCGGCATATAAATCAAAATAAAAAAATAATAAAAAAAAATACACCATTCTGATCCCTTATAATTTTCTTTTCAATTCCATATGTGGTCCTTCTTTCATTTCCTTGACTGGGAACACATGTAGCAGAACTATTAGTTAAGTCCTTAACTAATACGTCTCCTTCTCCCAAAAAAGAGATTGAATCCAATTATTGTTTAGAAGTCCTAAGGCATCTAAATTCATGAATTTATCCTATTTGCTAGAATGGATTGGATAGGCTTTTTTATGAGCAGTGTGTAGATTTTAAGGAAGCAATAGCTGCATCAAATGAAATCTTTTTTTAAAACAAAAAAAAGCAGAAGGATTCATGGATTTCAGGATGCATAAGATTTAATTGCAGGTTGAATACAGTTGAATGCAATCTTTAACTTACCCACTCTCCCCCAATTGTGCCATTGGAATTCAGTGACAAAATGCCTGAATTTTGTAACTGCAATTTCAGGCAATCAATGGTGATAAATTGAGAATGCTAATAGTTTGTCTTCCAGGGGCTTAACACTGCCTCAAAAGTATCACACTCTCATTCTCACGCACTGCCCCACCATTAACACACCGAAAAATATTGGTCATTTGTTCTGAGAAAGTTGCTGAATGACCTTCTGGGGTCATGCAAAAATGCAGGAAGCTGACTTGTTTCTCCACTTTCTCAACAATTAAAATATAAGAGATTAAATCACTTCTTCTTTCAAAGCCTTGAGTTCTACTTGGTTCAACCTGCTGTGAGATAGCTCATACTGAGAATTGTTTCTCTGTGCCATGTAGAACCACTTGTGACATAGAAAAAAATTCATTTTGTGTCTTCTGTTTTATGTTCAGGTCTTGGAAATTTTTACTAGTCGGCTAACTAGACTCCAGGTGTTACCACGACATGAAATATCTGCTCTTACAAAATATCAGATAATTCTAGCACGAGATCAATTTAGGAAAAACCCTGCTTCACGTTTTGAGGTACATATTCTTTAGAAGTATATCATTTGTTTTCTTTCTGTATAATCAGATTTGTAATTGGTCACATTCAAATGCACGTCTGGGATGTGATGGACTGGTCCCTCTGTTTCCCATGGTGGGGAGGTGTTAGGCCTTTTCTCACAGTTGTTACTACAGCCTCCTTTACTGTTTGCAGAGTCTTTTCAGGAAAACCCACACACCTGGCACTTTTCCACAGTGGCACTCAAGAATAGATAAGTGGTGATAATTTTTTTTCCTGCTTTCTTCCCTTTTTGTACCTAATCAAACAGGGGAAAATGTGCTTAGATTAAAATCCTTTCAGAATTAAGATAACTGTTTCAGTAAGAATCCAAGTTATTTATCGTGAATACTAAAATCTAAGTACTAAAATGGAGTTGAAAAGGAGAAAACAATGTCTTAAAAAAATATCCAGGTTTAATTCCTTTAGCCAAGAGCACCAATGTGCATGCACAGAGTTAGCACAAAATAACAGCAAATCATTTCCCATAAAATTAAAACCAAAGTTCTAATTCCACTTCCACCTCCAATGTCAGGGGTCCCCAACCCCGGGCTGTGGTCCGTTTGGAACCGGGCCATGGAAGTGGTGGGGGAATGCGCGCACCCACAAAGCTGCATTTGCAAAAGTGTGCACACGTGAACTGCCGCCTCCGCTTGTCCGCTGAGCCAGAAAGTTTGGCCCACACTGCTTTAATATACTGTATTTTTCGGAGTATAAGATGCACCTTTTCCTCCCCTAAAAGGGGGTGAAAATTTAGGTGCATCTTATACACCAAATGTAGCCCTGCCTACCCACTGGCCCCCACCCTTTGGCCTCTGCCTCGCAGCAGTTACCTGCTTGCAAGCAAACAGCAAGAAAAAACAGCTCCTTTCAGTTTCAGCACAGCCTAATTAGCACAAGTTGATTGGATCGGCCTCCCGACTCTCAGCTGATTTGCTCTCAGCTGTTTTGCGCAGGGCTCTGCTGCTTGCTGCAAAGAGATAAATTGCTGGAGCAGTTTTTTTTTTCGCCTTGTGCTAATCAAGCTATGCTGAAAACAAAAATGAAAGTAAAGCAGGCTGTTTGCTGTTTGCTGCAAGGAGGCAAAATTGCTCAGAGGCAGGGGGAGATTTCTTTTTCTTCTTTTCCTCACCAAAAAAGGTAGGTGCGTCTTATACTCCGAAAAATACGGTACTTTTTCTATATCTCCATTGGGTTACAGCAATTCTTATCTAGCTCTGCAATGTCTAAGAAAAAGAGGTGCCCATACTGCCTTTAAAAAAAAGGCAACGTAGCACTGTCTTCTACTCTTTCGAAAGCCCACCTGATGGAATGTTTATACATTTTTGTGAACTTTAAACAAAGGCTTTGTCCGTTTATCTGAACACATTCAGATAATGCGGTATTCATATTCTTGCGGTATTTGTCTCAAAAATGGATTTTTTCTCACTACAGTTTTCTATCCCATTTATGTGGTGTTTTTAAGCCCCCCTGGTCAGAACGAACATTTGCAGACGTATAAATGCAACAGTTTATGCAACCGTCTCCGAACAACAGAAAAATACGTTCCCTGATGTGCAGTGAGAGAGAAATCTAATCCTGGCTTTAGCTTTCAAAGCATCTGATTTTTTTTTCCCCAATAAGCTTGACATGAAATAAAAAGTGCCTAGATAGTTACCCTGGTGGAAGTCTATTTCACTTCATTATTTACTTAAACTGTAGGTAGAATCACAGTAAAATTGCTGTTACAAATGAATCTGTATGACTATAATTTTGTTGCTGAAATCAGAAATGTCTTTTTCCCCAGCGAATGCAGCAAGGTGCAATAGAGGGAGATTTTGCTCTTTGTATTAGTTTATATCATGGTTACGAACTGTTACTGCAAATGGGTATGAGATCATTGCATACCTTCTTACGTGGAATTATGGATGGATCAAAAGGTAAGGAATCTGTTTTTACTCCCATTTCAACTTAATCATGGGCATTTAGATGTATTGTACATGTCTATTAAAATATTTTAAAGAAATATTAGAAATCTCTGGTTATACTACAGGTCTGCAATAAATTGAACTGATTGGAAACAAAATGTATTTAGACATGTGGAAGATATGGGAATAAACCATTGTTTTCACATTTCCTAAGTCATAAATTAACTTGAAATATATTTATATATTGTAATGCTTCTAAAGATGTCAGAAAGTCCTCCCGTTTATATGTTTATCATTATTAAAAATGGCAGAATTAAGTCTGTTTAGTTTGGAAAATAGTGTAAACACCACAAAAACCAAAATGTTTTTAAGGGAAAAAATTGGCATGTGGTAATGTAGAAGATCCATATATTGACAGTGATTTCAGTTTTTTCAATCGGTTCTTACCAGAGAGGGAAAATATATAATTCATCCATTCTGGCAGAAGCACCATTGATTGTCTTTGGGTATAAAAAGCTGAGACAAAATAGAAAATACTGCTTTTTAGTTGACTTGAACCATAGCCGCCAACTGATCTAAGACTGATGGTCTTGAGGAAATTAAAATTCAGTAATTAAAATTAATATTTACACTTTCCAAAGTACTTTTTAATGTAAGGCTGAATAAAATAGAATTAGCATAATAAGGTCTATATCTTGAGTCTTTTGTCTGTCTCTCATGTCTTGCCTTTTCTATAATCGTTCATTCCAGAGGTTTTTATTTTTGATACCAGAGTAGTAGATAGAATTGCTTCCTAGCTATAATGAAAATGGGACTGTATTAAAAGAGACAACGATAGACAGACTTCATAAATATGAGGAATGTGTCCATCCAACACAAACTTATTTTCTTTAACTTGGTTCACCTAAGTCCATCCAAGATAAATGTTTTTCTACATATTTTTTATGTATAGAATATATTTTATTCTATTATCTAAAAATTATGTCTGTCTGTCTGTCTATGGAGATTCTCAGAGCTGAAGAAGCTTCTTGGATGAGAAGCAAAATGTCTTCAAAGAAAAACCAGAACGTCCAGTTGCCTTGAAAAAGCACCTTTGGAATTTTTTTGACAGTCATTTTCAAATATTTGAACTAGAACGTCATCATAATGCTGGTTACTTCATAGGAGAATAATTGCCAGTAGGGAATTGGGATGAGCCTATCCTTCATTACAAGAATTCAGGCAAAAAGAGGATGGAAACCTGTCAGGGAAACTATAGTAGTGGAGTAGTTACATCAGTGGCAGTTTAACTTAAAAGATCTTCAGTGTCCTTTCCAACTGAATTAATTATGTTGTTGTAATACTGCATTATTCTTTATCTGTGTCTGAGAGACAAGACTTATTGCAGTCATTAACCAGGACACTTATCTGTGGTTTCTTTTTTTACTATTAATTTTCACTGCAGACTACAAAACTGTCTAGCTTGATGTGCAGTTTATGTAAGTCAGATATCTAAACTTTAACATTTTTAAATTCAACTACTTTTCTTTCTAAGGAATGACTCGAGCCAAAAATGAACTTGGGCGTAATGAGGAATTCATGATGCTATACAGCCAGCTTGAAGACATGTTTTTGGATTCAACTTCATCAAATGGAAACATCAATGAACTAGGTTGGCAATTTATCTACTCAAAATACAGCAGTGCTGTTTGTTCAGCATGGCAAGTGACTCTACTAAGGATTGAAGGATATGTTTAAAATACCCATGGATATTCCTGGTGAAGGCTGTCTTTATATAGTATGAATATTGTGGCTTAAGGGTATACTAATTTTTTTCAGATATTAAATGGTATCTCTGTTTTGCCTTAAATTTGAGGTCGCTCTTATTTATTTTAACAAATTTCTCCTCTTCCCCCAAACAGTCTTCTTGTCAACATTTTTGGAGGTGATTTATCATTGCTTTCTTCCTAGTGCTGAGAGAATGTGATTGCCTCAGAGTTATCTAGCTGGCTTTATGCCTAAAACAGGGTTAGAACTCACAACCTTCCAAAGTGTAGCCTAATACTTTAACCTCTATACCAAACTGAAGTTCTCTATTTCCAATTTACATTTGAATAAATTGTAAATACTTAATTGTACAATATATCTATTTCTTTTCTTCCCTTTATTCATTAAATTTCAATTGCAGCCCAATTCATCTATGTGACTCTGGGCAGCTTACAATTCTAACTGTATTTTACAATTCAGTTGTACATTCTACATCTGAATTCTACAAATCAGCAGAACTGGAGAAATTTCTTGGATGAGAAGCGAAACGTTTTCAAGAAAAAAACAACAACAACAAAAGGCCCAGTTGCCTTTTGAAAAGCACCTTTGGGACAACCATGACCTGGATGACTGTGAACCTCTACAGACTTTTAGCTATTCAATTTGGGATGAACATCCTTTGAATGGTGTGGGTGTAGGAATGGATTTCAGAGGGAAAAATTGCGGAATATAGGAACCAGGAGTACTACTCAGGTGACCCTCAGGACACAGATAAACCTCCAAGTGCTTCAATGACCCTCTAAAAGGATGCAAATTACCAACTGTCTGCAAGGAATATATATCCTTCCATTCCCCACCATCCAGTCAGAGCTGAAGAAGCTTCTTGGGTGAGAAATGTCTTCAAGGAAAAAGCAAGAAAGTCCAGTTGCCTACTGAAAAAGCACCTTTGGGACAACCATGACCTAGATGACTGAGAATCTACAGAATTTAAAACAGTCAAAACATCTAGAATTTACATACAACAATTATAAAATTATAAAACAAGAACAATAAAATAGTTAAAACATTCAGAAAATGCATACAGCAACAAAGATAGTTAATCAGCTAACAGTAAAACCAAGAAACAGGGCTTTAACATATTCCGTAACAGGGACTTCAGCAGAGTAGTCCCATCTTGTAATTCTTGCCATTCGGCACTCTTTGACTGATGGGATTTGCAGCATGCCCAATCTGCTGGATTGAATTGGATGGGTAGAGACTCTTGGAAAAAGACAATCCCTCAGCTAACTGGTAATCATACAGGATTTTTCCTTAATGATAGAATTAAGGAGACATTTTATTATATTTTGAAGGGTAACTTTTCACAGAGGAGATTTTTTTTTAAAGTTAAAGCTGTCTTGATTTTTATATCTAAAATTAAAATTTTTGGGTTTGCAGGAACCGAAAACATGAAGACTTTCATTTATAGCCATCCCAAATTAAAGAAATTAGAAGATGTTGTTCTACAGCATTTCAGATCCTGGAAAAAACGTCAAGGTACCTATAGGATTTAACTCGGCTGCTAATGAAAAAGCTACAAGTAATCACATAGCATTCAACGCTCCGATTCAATTTTACACAGGAAATCCCTTGTTGGGTTTATATTCTATACCCTACTGTTTTCTACTTCAAATTTTAAGATTATGGATTATTTGCTCTTTAATATTTTGCCATTCATTTTATACTGTCCTTATTTAAAACACTCTGGCTAATATTTGGTTTACCAATATATGCAGCTTTCAGTCCGACACAATTTATCGTTTAAAAATAAGAGTTCTTTGTTTTTATACTTTTTAAAACTTTACTAGTTCCATTTTACCAGTATGATGCTTAGTCTTGATTAGGATGCTAGTCAGTGAAATTGATTAACTGGAGTTTCTGCATGGGGCAATTTGTATCAAATTTCTCTGTATGTGTTCATCAAGGTATAGTTTATTGGTTTGCTTTCTCTATTACATAGATCAGACTACATCTGAAGCCACACCTACAGATACCAGAGTGATGATCTTCTCTTCCTTCCGTGACAGTGTTCAGGAAATTGCAGAGATGCTTAACTATCACTACCCACTTGTGAGAGTCATGACTTTTGTAGGCCATTCTACAGGCAAAAACACGAAGGGTTTTACACAGAAGGAACAGCTTGAGGTAATGAAATGGGTGGAGGCAGGGATGCAAATTGTCCTGCGTGGTATAACGAATGTTATCCTTGGTATATTTTGTAAATTATCATCCCAAACAGAGTTCTGATGCCAAGAAAATGGATTTGTAATATAGCAATACCTATAGAATGATTCTTAAATTATGCTGTACTATCACATGATATAAGTTAAATTCACATGAAATGAATAAAATTGTTGTGGCTCCGTTACCTGAGCCTGTGTCATCGGCAGGAGAGGACTCCGAGAGTGAAGGAGAGGAGTTGGTAAGGCCTCCCTCTCCAGGACCCTCCTCTCTGGCAATGCCTTCGGTGTCCGCCGAAGGTCAAGAGATAGGCCCGGGGCCAAGCACGTCCACGCAGCCACAGGTGGACAGTAATGAGGGAGATGAGTCTTGGCTGGATCCTTGGCAGCGTCGCAGAGATAAGCGCACGCAACAGAAGAAGCATGCCAGAGATTAAGCTGAGTCACTGGACCACACCCCACAGGGTATAAAAGGGGGTGAGGTGGCCATTCAGACTCTGACGGACTACTATCGAGTCACATTGCATCTTTGGAAACAACATTATCTGCCTTGGATTTAATTACGGACTGGACTTGACAATTCTTGAACTGTGTGTATTTTGTTTATGAGTAAAGTCTTGGCAAGCAGCAAGCAATCCTCTTATCGAAAGAATTGGTTCTCTGCCAGTTTATTTAACCCCCGGCTGTCTGTTTGTGTGCGTGTGTGAGACGGGGACAGAACAAAAACTCAGTGTTTTTCAGATGTGTAATATTGCATTTTTCAAATAAATTTGTTCCCTCTTATTATTTTTAATAGAAAAAGTAGTTATTCTTCCTATAGAAATAAAGATGTAATGAGAAGCAGAATTTCATAGCTTTGTTTCATATATCAGCTGCTCCTTGAGAATTTGTCTTGCTCCCAAGTGCCTGAGATGCAGAAAACCAGGGAGTGGCTTTCAAAGTTCTTCCATCACCATAGAAGAAACCAGATGACTGTCATGTCTTTCCAGCAGCCCTCTCCAAACGGAACATGGGTTTAAAAATACATGGTGCTCCAGTCATCTTTGACCCCTTGGAGAATCAGGAGAGCCTATCTGCTCTCAACACTTTCTGTCTGTCATTCTCAGCGTGGGTACTGAGAACTAAAAAGACAATCTGCACCCAAAGTCATTTTATGGGGCTCCTCTATGAGCTTGTTTCTGATTCAGCAACAGGGAAATTAGTTATTGCTTCATGAAGCTTCTCAGCTGTGTGCACAATATTGTTCATCAAGTTAAGGTTATTTTGGGACTTTGGGGGATAAAATTAGCTCATCTATCCCTGTCTCCAACTGGGTTAGAGCGTTCACATGATATATCGACACTATAACTGCTTTGACTTGGTTAAGAAAGTGGCATAGATAGAGTGTGTACATTATATCTGTCCTTCCTTCCTTTGGATCTTTTGTGACTGTGATTACTATCAATTACTAATGCATTGTGTAGAAAACAAAATGTTTTGTAATAGAGCAGTATAGTAATTGATAAAAGTCAACTCCTAAGTTGACTGAACAGTTGAATAATTTAAACTGATCCTATCTGTTTACATTGGGTTATTATCTTAAAAAAACCCTCAATTGTTCCATGTAACTTAATGCCACTTTCAATACCTTCCTCTACTTTGAAAGGTGCACAATCCTCAGTTCTCTGTATCTCATGCATATTTCAAATTCTATGATAGCTGCTGATCTCATAATATTTCCTTACTACATGGATTTGTTTTCTTAAGAACTACCAGAATCAAGCTAAAGCTTGTTTAAATTTTCCTTCAGGTAGTGAAGCATTTCCGGGATGGCGGCTACAACACATTGGTCTCCACATGTGTAGGAGAAGAAGGCTTGGATATTGGCGAAGTAGACCTCATCATTTGTTTTGATGCTCAAAAAAGTCCGATTCGTCTTGTACAGCGAATGGGCCGAACTGGACGCAAACGGCAAGGGCGCATTGTTGTCATTCTTTCTGAAGGAAGGGAAGAGCGAGTAAGATGAGACTCCAAACCCAAGTTTTGTTCACTGCCTAACAAATTCTAAGTGCAGGGATTTTGGTGTTCTAAATTTTTCCAAAAACTCAGTGCAAATCCTAGGTCTTGCTACCAAATAAAGTTGAAAGAAACTAATAGTTGAACTAGCAGATGCTGGCACTGCCTTGGTGGTGATAGCACTTAGCACTTAGACTTATATACTGTTTTACAGCCCTCTCTAAGTGGTTTACAGTGTCAGCCTCTTGCCCCCAACAATTTGGGTCCTCATTTTACCCACCTCAGAAGGATGGAAGGCTGAGTCAACCTTGAGCCTGATGAGATTTGAACTGCCAAACTGCAGGCAGCCTGTAGTCAGCAGAAGTAGCCTTGCAGTAATGCACTCTAACCACTGCAACACCTTGGCTCACAGCCATGGTTCTGATGTTAGCAGTAGTATGAAGGACTTGGGAGAAGGGTTGTTGCTAGAGGCACATAGGATTATATCTAGAAAACCTGCTTCCATTGGTCTAGTGGTTAAGGCACGAAGCAAGAAACTAGGAAACCATGGGTTCTAGTCCTGCCTTAGGCACAAATCTGACTGGGTGGCTTTGGGCCAGTTACTCACTCTCACAACCCAACTCACAGGGTTGTTGTTATGGGGAAAATAGAAGGAGAAAGAAGTATTGGGTCTGTTCACCTTGAGTCACGTATAAAAATAATAAAGGTGGGATAAAAATAAATAAATTAGCAGGAGGAATGTTATTTATTTTAATAATATTAATTCAGTAAATGTGGGGAGAGGTGATTTGACTTTCTTTTCTTTAGGCAAGAATAAAGAGAGGTACATAAAATAAGAACATCATTATCAGATTTCTAAAGCTATGAATTGAAGTTAGGGTAATTGTGGACAGCATGATCTTTAACATGTTGGTGGAGTCTCAATTATGCTGCTGCTTTTTTGTTCTGCTCCAATAAACCCTGACTACGTTACATTAATGATACCTTCTTTTTGCATTAGGTTTCTTCAGTCAATAAGCTTTATGGAGTTCCAGGTCATGGTTTAATCCTTTATAATTACATACATCACAGAACATTTTAAGGGCTATTGTATTAGATGGCCATTTAGTAAAAACATTAACATGGGTTTAATTAAGACTATTGACTATGCCAACACTTTGCTTTCCTTTACCTATATAAATTCAGTAAATAGATATTAAAAATCACCTGAACATTATCAGACATGGGGTAATACTGGGACGACATAATCTGAGTTCTGCAAATAAGTTCTGACATGACATAGGTTTTAAAAATATTATCAAATCACTTCGTAGATCGAAAAATAGGATATTATGTTGGCATTTGTTTGCATGTGAAAAACAGCAAATTGGTTGATAATGAGCTGATACCCAGAGGAATTGTAGTAAATCAGTGTAAATCATATTTGTGAATGTGTAAACTAGGAACAGATCAGACGTTTTACTACAAAAAAGTGCCATTTTTTTTTCTCTTGTAGACTTACAATCAAAGCCAATCCAACAGAAAAAATCTTCTGAAAACTCTTTCTAAAAATAAAGGCCTCCATTTGTACCAGCACAGCCCACGTATGATTCCAGACGGTCTGAACCCCAAAATGCACCGTATGCTGATTACACCTCCAGAGAAGGAGCCAGACACCTCCACAGCCTGCTCAAAGAAGAAAAGTCTCACTTTGGGGCGAAATAATTTTCTCAGTTTTGCCAATGCAGGTAAGAAGAGAGGATATCTGCTGAGCTTAAATTGCCACACAAACAAAAACTGTCTTTTACACAAGGTACAGGAAGGTTGCCCTGTGTAACTGATTGGCAGATTTATGGTTAACAAGACCTAGAGTTCTTTCATTCTTTGTATAGTCAACAAGATTCATTGCCAAAAATACTGTGATGGCTATTTATTTAAATAATTTTGCAAAGGTTGGCTAGTCTAAAGAAAAGAAGGACTAGGAGGGACATGATAGCAGTATTTCAGTATTTGAGGGGATACCACAAAGAGGAGAGGGGTCAATTTATTTTCCAAAGCACCAGAGGGTAGAACAAGAAAAAATGGATAGAAACTAATCAAGGAGAGAAACAACCTGGAATTATGGAGAAATTTCCTAACAATGAGAACAATCAACCAGTGGAAGAGCTTGCATTCAGAAGTTGTAGGTGCTTCATCACTGGAGGCTTTTAAGAAGAGATTGGATGGCCACTTGTCTGCAATGGTATAGGGTCTCCTGCTTGAGCAGGGGGTTAGACCTCCAAGATCCCTTCCAGCTCTATTCTGAATTAATTACCATAGCTTCCCATGCCAATGTTAGTGGGGATGTGCTTTTCTTTTTGGTAATTCCTTGATTAGGGGTATTGTTTTCTGATTGATTGTTTATCTTCTTGGTAGTTCCTTCATTAGGTATTATTTTTCTGCGGAATATTCCAGTTCTGTGCCAAAATTGCTCGGTATTAATATTTGTATGATGAAAACTGTGTTTTGTATGTACCATATTTTTCGGAGTATAAGACACACCTTAGTTTTTGGGGAGGAAAATAAGAAAAAAGCTGATTGGCAGGTGGATCAGCCTCCTGGAATACCCCCAATCAGCTGTTCCCAGAGGTGAATTTTAGCAACAGGTTCCTTGGTTGTGAGCTCTGTGCCTTGCTTTTTTTTTTGCTTTTTTTTCTGCTTCTGAAACTCTGTTTCAGAAAAATCTTTTTTTCCTGCCTCTGAAAGCCTCTGAAACAGAGCTTCAGAAAAAAAGCCTCTGAAGCTTTGTTTGGGGCTTTTTTTCTGAAGCTTCGTTTCTGATGCTTTTTTCAGCCTCTGAAACCTCCGTTTGAGAAGCTGGGCGGGGCTACATTCGGAGTATAAGACGCATCTAGATTTTCACCCTCTTTTTTGGGGGGGGAAAGGTGCGTCTTATACTCGAAAAATACAGTATACTTACCAGTAATTGAGGTGAACTTGAGTTAGTCTTACCTTATCCATCTAGCCAATTTAAAAAAGCAACCAGAAATGTTTCTGAGCAAGACAAGCCAGTGATAGTAATCCTACTGTTTATGTCAATCAGAAATTTACTGTGCTTGATACTGAAGACATGCAAGTAGCATCAACCTACATGGCCAGTGAAGAGAAATTTGGGGTGGTACAGCAGGCATTGATTCTGCATATATAGGATTTAGTATCTATTTTAGAGATAGGCTAGAACTATAAAGATTCTGTCTCCCTCTCCCTCCCTCCCTTTCTCTCTTTCTCTTTTTCTCTTTTTTTGGGGGGCGGGGGGATGGCAACAGGGAAGTAATATCACTGCATGTCCTTGGAGCATGAATCATCACTCGTTTCAGCAGTCTCTAATAATTCTCTAATTTTGTGTGTGCGCATGGGTATGCATGTGTATAATTATGTGCATATGATTTTCCATGAATGTGGATGAGTATGATAAAATAAAACTATGTACCCTTCAAAAATTATTTTGAAATGTAATTTGGAAAAGATGAGTAAGCACATCTTTTCTTGGACTCCATGTGAGCCTGAAAAAAAAAGCTACAGTAGCTCAGATCAGACTCATAACTGAGCAACATCTTTTTTCAGGCTCAAACACAAGCTTTTTTTTTTTTTTTTTTTTAGATGCTTGTTTTAATGAATAGCAGAGAGAGACTGTGTTCATGTAAGGCCCAAAGTACTATTTCTAAATTATTTCAAAGCATGCATAGCCCTCTATGGTACTGCTTCCACTGCTCATTAGACCATTAAAAGTTTATAGACTGAATCTGATCCATTTGTTTGTCTGGTTTTCAGTGCAAATTTTATAATCAAAACACCATTATTTAAAAGACCTGCTTATGGCTAAATTGGCTATGAAGATAAAAGCAGCTGTTGGTTTTTTATAGTGATTTTTTTCAGAGCTTGTGAGAAGGAAAAATGCCAATATTTTTTAAAATCATAAAACAGTGCTTTGAAAAAATTATTTAGGCTGGATGCTTATAGCAAATGGTCAAGTAATAAAACTTATTTCAGTCACTCAGCTTGTTTCTAAGGAGTCTTTCATAGCAAATGAAGAAACCTCAACCAATTGATATAGCTATATCACCAACCAAAGACACGAAGAAAGAGAGAATATGATTGTAACAGTTCAGAGTTCTCCCTCACAGGATCCATCATAGAATATACCTGGTATAACTGGGTAATAATCTGAATATGGCCTATAAGTGCAGTGGTGCTAAAAAAATTGGAACACTTTTGGATTCTTGATATTTCTATATAAATATAGAATCTATTCTGTAGGATCTATACATGATCTATTCTACACACACACACACACACACACACACACACACACACACACTAACTTCCTTCCTTTTCTTATCTCCAAATATTTTCCAGGTACGAAGCAAGCCAGTCCAACTGACAGCTGGGGTCTTACAACTGAGGAATATGAAAAATGGGATAGACTATATAAAATAAAAGCTGGTGAAGGAATAAAAAAGCCAATAATGCCATGCAGTCAGTTTGTAACATTAGAATGCAAAGATACAAGAACAGTAAGTTAAAACATACTTCAGGTTAATTTAATGTGGTCTGGCTGAAGATCATGAAAAAAGTACTTAAGCCTAGAGAAAAATGTCTTGAGCTATTGTCAATAGTAACTGATATGTTTTGATATAAATATAGAAAAGACATACATGTATTTAACAATTATATTCATTATATTCAAATAGAACTTCAAATTATTGGAGAAAATTCCAGATATTTAATGCAAAATAAATAAAGGACCTTGTGGCAATCAATTATATCAGACATGATCCTTAAAAGATTATATCTGATCCTTCTTTCATTTGAATGTTGTCCATTTTATGTAGACTTACAGCCAGCATGGTCATTGCTAAGAAACCTTAAATATTTGAAGTGCACTTATTGGGGAAAGTTTGCATAGAGATTCATGTTAAAATTTAATTTACACAAGGGAGTGCTACAAAGGAATAAAGTGCCTGTAAAATTACAGTATATAAATATTCCATTGTAGATCTTTACAATAAATATTGATTCCCATCTAACAAATCAGAATTTCCTACAAGCGCACTGCTTTTTGTAATAGGCTAATGAAAGAATTCAGAACAATTTATTATAGTGATTAAGGTAGCAGGTCAATAAACTATGAGTTCTACTTTCACCTTAGACATGAAACTAGTTGGTTGACTTTGGGCCAGTCATTCTCTCAGAAAAATAAAGCAGCCAGACGCTTTCAAAAATCTTGCCAAGGAAATAGCAGGAATTAAGAATCAAGATTTACTGAAGGCACAAAACAGGGAGGAATTATATGGCTGCTATAACTAAATAAACTAAGGCTGTGATTTATATGTGTAAAATTAGAAAAACAAATGCTTCAACATTCTCAGTTTGTTAACTAGTAAATTGGTGGTAAAAATAAAATGCTTATTGTATTTAAAAAAAACATTTTTTTCTCATAAATAAAAGTTAATATTTTTTTTTCTAATAGCAATAGCATTTAAACTTATATGGCTGGAAAGCTGAGTTAACCTTGAGCCTGTCAGGATCGAACTCCTGGCAGTGAGCAGTGTCTTAGCCTGCAGTACTGCATTCTAACCACTGTGCTATCACTACTCCTCAGTTCTAAATTAGTTCTAAGCTAACTTTAACTTTATTTGGGATTATTCTTTTGACAAGCCTAAACTGCGACTGGCATTGGTAGCGTTCTGTTTTCTTTGTGTTTTGAAATCTTAGGAATTGGAAACTAAAGAAGTTCATGAACTGTCGCTGTCAGAATGGACTGTCTGGCAGAACCGGCCTTTCCCTACCTATCTAGTGGATCACTCTGATCGTTGCTTCCACTTCATTAGTATCATGGACATGATAGAGCAAATGAGACATGAAGAAGTGAGTAAAACAGTGTTCTATTCTGGAGAGCCTTATCGTCTTTCTAAGCTCCCACATGCATTTTATTGAGTTGTGACCAGGGTGGATAAAAATCAAATGTTTTTTTTTTAAAAAAATAATTAAAAAATTGGATTTAAAAAAAAAATCAGATTTTTTTTAAAAAAATAACAAATTTATTTTAATAAAATGCTTGTGGAATAAAAATCTATTTAAATATAGTTTTCTATTTAAGATACATTAATAATTCAGTTTATTCAGCATGAAATGGAGCTTAGTTATGTAGCATGAGGCTGTATATTCTGCAATATTTATATTTTTGGTAAACTCATTCAATGAATCCAAGTTCTTCAAGCTGAGATAACATGCACTGCATTGATGCATTCACACAATTTCACAGTAACCATGAGATAAATCATAAAACAAAGTTCAGGAATATTCCTTTATCCCATTGTTTTGCAAATCTATGCACACTACAAACTGCATGATTGTTTGAAGAGAAATGAATTTGTACCACCAGGCTCTAAGTGTGAGGAGGAAGGGCAAGCAGTAAAAATGAAAGTGAAACCTTCTAAGCAGCTTATAAATATAATATTAAAGGGCAGCTGTCATTTCAGACCCATCATGGCAGCGCCTGTTAGCGGGCATCCACTCACCTGCTGCCTGCCACGTCCCTCACCTTGTTGTGTAACTGCCGAATCACCGGCCGTCCCATTGCGGGACAGAGATAACAGTTGCTCTTTAAAAATTATGATTTAAATTGTGTTGATTTAAATCAAGCCTTTCTACTAATGATTTAAATCAGGATTTAAATTGTGATTTAAATCAAATCCACCCTGGTTGTGACATAGAATTCTGGAATAAACAGTATGCCCAAAGCATGTCACTATTTTGTATTTCTCTATGATTCTGTTATTCAACACAATGAACCAAAGATTACTCCCTCTTTAAAAAGGTGTTGAGAAACCTATTAAAAACTTATTATTTTGCCTGATCTCATCGCTTAGGCCAGGTTTACAGATAGCTGATTTTTTTCACTAGCAATTAATTTGACTTTTCAGAGAATGACTCATAAAGTTACTCATTGACTTTTAACTAGTTTGATAATTACATTGTGGATGAGAATGGGGAAAAGAGCTTCCTTAAAAAAAGCAACAACACTTCCATACTTTGTGAATTTCAGTGTTACCAAAACTGCAATGCAATTAGGACTTCAAGACAATGACGATAAACAAATTACCAAAAAGAAGAAGAAAAAAGAAAGAAAAAAGAAGAAAGAAGCAATTCTTTAAAAATGTAAATGTCAGGGAAGCATATATGTTTTCTTTAGGATTAAAGTTTAGGAAAGTACCTTGAATAAAAGACACCTCTATTATATTTTTCTCCAAGTTGTTAGACATTTCTTTAATCCGTGTGTCTACTTTTATTATTTTCCATTTGCCAATGTTCTGATTTTTAGTTAACAGAATAACAAGAGTTAGAAGGGACCTTGGAGGTCTTCTAGTCCACCCCCCTGCTCAAGCAGGAAACCCCGTACCATTTCAGACAAATGGTTGTCCAATCTCTTCTTTAAAATCTCCAGTGCTGATTAAGTTTTGTGATGGTCTTAGGATGTAGGTTCTAGAACTCTGCATAAAACTGGAGATGCACTTCTATGTCCCCTCAGCTAAGAAGTTTCTACTCACAAGGTAACTGTTAGTTTTTAAAAAAAAAAAAACTAGGATGAAATTCCTTCTTGGTCATTTTGTGATGCTTAGGAAAAAGAACACAATAAAGGTATACGTTGGACCATAGTATTCTTTCTCTCTGGAAATGTTTGAACTGAATTATAGTTGTTAAATCAGAAACAATGTTGTAAAAAAAAGAAAATAGAGCTGTGCAAGGTTTCATAGTTAATCTTCAAAAGGTGTACTCGAGAATGTCCAGGCGTGTGAATATAGCACTATTACGGCAGCAGTTATAAAAATAACCAAAAAAGAATGGCCCTAAACAGGGGTGGGTTCTACTTACCTTTTCTACTGGTTCGCAATGGGGCCGCACACGCTTCTGCGCAGAAGCGTCCTGATGACGTTGGGGTCGGTGGGCGGAGCCTCCCGACGGTTTTACTACCGGTTGTATAGAACCGGTCCGAACCAGGGGCAACCCACCACTGGCCCTAAATGAGAGAAATTTTTTGGTTTGTGAGTATTTATTTTCCTTTAGTCAGATAGATCCAACAGTGTTGAGTCTGAATCTAATATAAGCAAATATAACAGTAGAAGTGCTATCAGTGATATGGGGAAACCTAACCTTTTGGGGCTTTCACAATAAACAGCAGATATGATAAGAACTGGGCCTCGTCAAAGATTTATTTCTGGAAGCATAGTGAAAATTACCGATTCTTTATCAAACTAGAGTGAAGATGTGGTGTACTTAGTATTTTGTCCTGTGCCTGGTACTCCTTAACACTTTTCATGATGGCTTGGGGAACAGCACTCATAAAATTTATAGCTGATGCAAAACTCAAAGTAATTATTGTTTTAATAGACAGAGTTAGGTTACAGAAATACACTGAAAGTACTAGAATGAAATTCAATGGAGTTGTTCAAGGCAAAGTTATTAATGCAAAATAAATCTAGAAATACAACATGGGATATCTGGCTTGAGAATGTATGAAAATCCCTGTATGTAGCTGAACCCAATCTAAATTAATTTCCAAAAAGGACCAATACAGTATTTGTCTGCATCAATAGAAGTATTGCGTTTCCAAATCAGGGATCTAATAGTTCATTCTGTTCTGCATTAGACAGACCTGACCTCAGGTACTATGTTCAGGGCACCATGCTTTAAGAAAAATTCAGGCAAATTGGAGCAGATAAAAAGATCAGTGAGACTGATCAAAGGATTAGATCTAAGTCTTATGAGAAAATGAAGGAACTGGGTAGAGGTAGCCTTCTGGAAAGTTTGAGAGGACGTATAACTCTTCAAGTGCACGAAGGAGATTCTGTCAGAAGATGACATCTCTGTTTTCTATTATATTCAAGTGAAGGCTATAGAATGATATATAGCTGTAGGGGGCAGCTCCCAGCTGAATGTGAGGAAAAATCTAAGACCTAATTAGTGGAACTAATTACTTTAAGGGACCCTTTGGATGTGTTGAAGTAGAAACTAGATAGATACTTCACAGAGTTTGGATTCCTGTAATGAACAGGAGATTGGATGATCGGTCCCCTCCCAACTTTCTTTTTCTATGGTTCTATAGGTCTTAGGCATGTGTTTCATTACATTGTATAGCACCCCTAAAAATGAATAGTGAATTATACTTCTAATGTGTCTTGCTGTATATTGTACTTTTGATTTCCCCTATTCTCATGCTCCCATATTTCTTTGATTTAAATCTCAATAAGGCAAAGTGTCAGACCCGCATCTGATTATATCTCCAGCAGTTCAGATTAATACATACTATTATGTAGAAAAATTGACATAAACTTTGATTTTGAACATGAACATATACTGCCTTTCATTGTGGGCTATTCATTATGTGATTCATATATTGTGATTCATTCATTGTCATTCAATCATAGGGAATATATATAGTTAACTCAGTAATGGAAATTAAACTGTCAGGAACTAAACAGATTTCCATTTTCTAGCACACACACATTTCATTGATGATTAAGTAAAATCACCATCATTATTTAAATGTCCAGCTAAATGAACAGACAGAAAAATCTCTTGCATAATTTGCAGGCTGATGGAGGGGACTGTGATGTTTTACATAATCTGCTTTTTAACCATTTTGGAAAATAAGCATGAATGTTTCTAAAACGTTTTTTTTAATGAAGTACTGCAATCCAAAAAATGTAGGAATGATCTTGCCATAGAACATTAAGTTGTTATCTGGACAGCTAAGAAAATAAGCCTCGTCAGTCTAATTTAGGAGGTGGCAAAATCTGATTGGCTTTGTCTGGACTCAAACAACTAAGCAGGTTTTATCCTGGTTAGTAGCTGGAAGGGAGACTATGGAATTTTAGACTTGAAGGTTAGATTAAGAAAAGATGGATGGATGGATGGATAGAAAAAATAGCAAACTTGAACTATGTTTTTTTTTCAATTTGTACTATTTAAAGAGATTTATTGAGATATTTTGAATAATAATAATTTAGAAAATAATTTAGAAAATTTCCATCTGTTACAAAAGACCACACTGATTGGATCCACACATACACTGTGATGATACAATATGACTTCCTAGGTAGGTTCTTGGGAAGAAATTATGCGTACGAAGGCCAACACTAGTTGAAGAACTGGCAGCTGTGATTTCACATTTTTGTGCATATCACGTCCGACTCTCAGCAAGTCTGGGGTCATGCTAATTGATGTGAAATTTAAGTATTCCATTTTCCTTTTCCAGAGAGTTGCTTTTTTATAACTTTACCAGATTTGTTAATTTATGTGCATTTATGAATCCTAAATCATAGGAAAGTTCTTTTTGATGTTAATTACATACCAAGAGTTGAAAATATTATGAGAATGTGGTAATGTAGTACAGTTAAGTCCTTCCTATTGATTAAGATTAAATCAAAGAGTATCTGGTCCATTTAAAATTTAGCTTCTAAAACAGAAACTTGTGAGCAACACAAGTTCGGAATTTTTCTGAAGGTCCATGCTGGGCAAAAAGTATCTCAAAATATTGGTATATTAAAAGTCCCCCATGGTTACAATTTCCTGCCTATTTGAAATCTCTGCAATTAATTTTTGAAAAGTCTCGTCCTTGGCTAGATTAGTCGTAAACATCATGCTTGGCTGGATAAGACTGTTACAACTTGCCTTAATGGACAGGATCCATTATGGTCGTAGCTCAGGGACTACATGTACTTTTACTAATGTAACATGATGCAACTTCTCCCTTTCTATTCCGATTTGTGACATTCAAACAGAAGAAGCAAATCAGCATGCTCAAGTTGATAGCATTGGCTTTGAATTTCAAATAAATTACCTAAAATGATAGTGGGTTCATTGAATGAACCATAGTCTTTCTCTTTTCTATCAAATTCCATTCCATTCTGTAAAATAACAACAACTTAGTGAATACCAATAATGCAGAAGTTAAAGAATGTAACTCTAAATTTCAGAAATAAAAAAGCCATTTTTCTTTATTCTCTTAACTAGGGAGTGTGTGGTTATGAACTGGAAATTCAACCTTATTTCCATTGGGAAGATGTTCATGCATCAAACGTTCAGACCAGCAAAAGATGTGACACCGTGACTCTTGAAAAAGTATCATCTGGGAAAAAAGCAGCAGCTACAGCAAAAGAAAAATATTCCTTACAGGAGTTTGATGCAGAATGTATGTCACTGTTTAAAGTGGCCAATTTTAAATCCTCGAAAAGACCTCAGGTGATTGATGTAGAAACTGCAGTTCATGCTAAAAAGGATGGCAGCACTTCAGATTGCTTTTCAACAAACCTATCACCATTTCTTGAAGCTACAGGTCAGAAAAGTTTGTCAGATGAGAATCAAGAAAATATGGGTGCAGCCCTCAACACAAATATTCAAGGAAGGGCTTGTATCAATCCTGAAAAGGCTACGACAAAAATAATTCATCCTGCTCCTGAAAATTGTATACCAAATGGACAGTGTGTGGATTCTGGCTATGGCTGTTTTGCAGATGATTCATATCTTTCATCTTTATTTTATCTACCAGTGCCAGAGATTGATTTGTTTAGATTTTCTGAAACAAATGCAGATGAAAACTTTTCCTGGGGAAAAGACATCCAGATGAATGTAGCAAGACTTCTGTCACAGTCCCCGCCATCTCTGGACGAATGGTTTGCTTCTGAGGAAAAGAGGGTGAATGAAGGCCTGGCGCTTGATTCCTTACAGCAATGTGTTTCCAGCAAGTCTAAAGACAATATTTCAGAGAAAAATGTATGCTTCAAGAATGTGCCCATTTTACCTCAGAACAGCTGTGAACTCTTAAATACCCGTAAATTGTGTTCAGTGGATACCTGTCCTTTGGAAACAAATAAAATTCCAGATACTTTCCTTAGCAGTATAAATGATCTTAGCTGGGATGACATCTTTGAAGTTGAAACCGAAGAAGAGAATGGAATTCAAGGGTCAAAAGTAAACAATAGTCCACTGCTGAATTCTTTGAAAAGGAATAATGGTAAAAGTTGTGAAAAAACATGCAAACCACCTGGAAGAAATGTAAACCCTGAGGAAGATTGTTCTATGCATTTATTGGGAAGTCATGCACAGACCAACCATCCACCAGTTGAAAAAATGGGGGCACCTTCAGAATTATCTGGCTTGTGTAGTCAAGCCAACATGCAGAGTAATAGACCAAGAACTCCTGAATGGCAATTTTCTGACCCACTTGCTTCTGTTCGCAATACAAATCCCACAACATCATTGACACCACATAGAGATGAAGTAGAAGTCCCTGGTGAACTTGATCATGGAAGCAAAGCAAATCCCCATGATTATGAGCAGCTGTATAATGCTTCTGAGGATTTGTTCTCTGTTAACTTTGATCTTGGATTTTCTTTTCAAGAGTCAGAAGACGATGCCTTAGAGCAGATGAATCCCATGAAAAATAAGGGGAGCCCTGCAGCTGGTCATTCCAACAGGGTTGAAGCCTTGTTCTCAAATAGTAGTTTGGTAAATAAATATCCCGGTAATGAATGTTTTAATAATGTGACTAAATCTTCTACACCATTAAACATGCAAAACCACAATCCTGGTCTAGCTGCTATTTCTTTGGCATCTCCTTTCACACCAGCAACTCACAGATTTTACCAGTCACCAAACCACGTAAAAACTGTGTGTTCAACACCAACAGGTGGACAAATGATACATACTTCTTGCTCTAGAAATAATCAAGAAAGCTCACATATGAGAGCTTCAAGAAAAGCAAACACCAGCATAGTTAAAGTCTTGGCCAAAACGGCTTTTGGAGTAAAGGATCTTCCATCCCATGAACCTGGTAAGACCAAAAATGAAAACCTAAATTATTTTAGCACGCTTTCTGCTGAAGTTAAGATTTTCAAATGCATAGATATGTGTGTAAGAACAATGATGCAGTTATATCGTTGAGAAACCACTCTTTAGAAGGCGTAACGAAACTAGTGACCTGTTGTGACCTAGGCCCAAATAATTATTACCAGACACAATCAGTCCTAAACAAATATATTTTATTAGAACAGCTGAGAATTACTTCATTCTCAGCTTAGTCCAAATTAATTCCAAAACAAGTCCTTCAGAAAAAGTCCTTCGGCCTTATCACCAACCTGTCTTCTTTGGCACCCTGCCAAAGGCTTTTCTTGGCAAAGCCCCACGAAGTTCAGAAACAAGAGATGCCAACAAGAAACAATTGTAGCAATGTTGTTTTCCTACAAAAAGCTCAAGAGCCCTTGCTGCTCTTTTAAGCCTTATGGGAGGGTCCAATCATCTGGCCTTATTCCTGAGTCGTTTTTGCTTTAGCTGCTCTTCCCTTCTGGCAGCTCTTTGCATGCGTGCACTAGGAACAGACTCCTCCTGTTCCTCTGGCTCTCTGCTGTCCGCCTCTGGAGGCTCCGGAGTCCGCGCATCATTCCCAGATGGCCCTGGCCCCGTCTCTACCTCTGACGCAGAGCCCTCGTCCTGGTCTTCCCCTGACTCCAGGACTGGCCCATTGCCCTCCCCAGCCTCCTCACTGTCCGACTCCGCTGCCAGCTCTGCAGGCTGCTGGTGGACCACAACATGACCAAGTTCCTGTCTTTTGGGATATTGAATGGTTCTCATTATTTTATTCTGTTTTAAGCTCAGCCTAGCCTTTTAGATGTTCTGTGATGAAGCTAAGGATCAACTTGTAGCAATGTAATCATGATATGATAAAACTTGTAAATATTTACTGTTATAAATATTTACTGTTACGTTAGCTAAAATGATCCTCCTTTCCAATGGTGTATCTTCTTTATGTGAGAATATATAAGATCCCTATATTTACTACTGCAGTTTTCTTGACTGTACAGTTGCTGGGTTTGTACATTTAAATGTACAGAAAAGCATTTATAGGTAAAGTAATGAATCTTGGAAATATTTTAAAGCGGTCCTAAGATTGATAACCAAAATTTGATTTGCTCTTTTGAAATATTATATCAGACTGAATTCTTGGTATATTTTTTATTTCCTCCTCAAAAGAAAGAATAATGCACTTGATTAGGGAAGCTAGATGAGAAACAAAACACAGAAACTCAGCTAGTTGGATATGCTTTTTTGTTATAGAGAGCTAGTTTAAGCAGTCAAGTCCAAGTGCAATAAGTAACACTGGTTTACTAACACTTTCCCTTCTCTTTTATTTTGTTTTGTTTTAACTTAAGCTTCAGTTCCAGCTTAACTAGGACGGACTTTGTGTTGTTAGAGAAATTCTGGCAAACAAGAAATCGCCTTACTTATTTTTAAAAGTTGAAATGTATATTTTTTGTCTAACCAACAAGTTCATTGCATGCTGAAAAATTCAGATTCTTATTATTAATTCTTCACTGTAGGGGACAGCAGTGAGAAGGAAGAATTTTCTTTTCTTAACAGAAAAAAGAGAAAAACAAAAATTTTGAGAACTTCAGATGTGAGTAATTTAGTTACACTTCAGCAGTTTTAAGTAAATCAAACGTTCCTCTCTGGGACTTCTTAATGGATGCTCATGTTATTCATTCTTTCTTAGGTTAGTGACTGTGACATTGAATCACCAATTCATGCTGTCAAGAAACGGAAACGTCCACTCATTGCCGTAAGTTTCTTCTCTGACTAGTGTAGAAAGAAGGTGCCTAAAACATGGGTTGCTGAATTTAGCTTGAATAGGTATGGTAAAGGTAAAGGTCCCCCGCACATCTGTGCTAGTCGTTTCCTGCTCTAGGGGGTGGTGCCCATCTCTGTTTCAAAGCCGAAGAGCCAGCACTGTCCGAAGACGTCTCCGTGGTCATGTGGCCGGCATGACTAAACACCAAAGGCACACAGAACACTGTTACCTTCCCACCAAAGGTGGTCCCTATTTTTCTGCTTGCATTTTTTATGTACTTTTGAACTGCTAGGTTGGCAGAAGCTGGGACAAGTAACGGGAGCTCACCCCGTTACATGGCACTAGGGATTCGAACCGCTGAACTGCGTACCTTTCGATCGACAAGCTCAGTGTCTTAGCCACTGAGCCACCCCGTCCTCTTTAGCTTGACTAGTCATCTCCAAATGAAATTAAATTTTATGTTCTCCATCAACTTGGCAAGATTGCTTCATTTGCTAACTCAGAAGAATTTATTTATTATATATTTTAATTATACGAGGTCTATTCAAGATCAAACCAGAGTCAATTTGGTGTAAACTCAGCAGATTAGAAACCAGGAGACTTGAGAGTTATAGTCTTGCCTCGGACACAAAGGCCATCATTCTCTCTCAGCCCCAGGAAGAAGATAAATCATTTTTAAAATGTTGCCATGAAAAGTGTATGGATTTGTCCAGGGAGTTGCCAAGAGTCAAAATTGACCCAAAGCCCTCCTTCCCCTCCCCTCCCCAACTCACACATCTCTTTGCTGTATAGGGAAAAATATATTCACAAGACTGAAAGTTATTTTATACCATATCAGACCTTCCGTCTAAATACCTCATTATAATATAGACTGACTGAAATCTTTCTATCATTTCTTTTAGCTTCAGTATGAGGAAGGCTATAGACTCAAAGATATGAAAAGGCTACCCTTTAAAAAAATTTTTTATTAAAATATTTTACAAAGATTTTAAAAATTATAGAAACATGAATGAAATAGAAGATGATGTTAAAAGAGTAAAAGAAACTGAAGAATAACAAAAAGGAAGATACCTTTTTTTAAAAAAAACAAGTTTTATTGGTTTTTTTCTTTTCTCCTCTCCCACCTTCACCCACATCTTTCTTTCTTTCTTTTTTTTTTGAACAGAGTGTTGGTCGTTTCTTATCTTATACAATTAGTCAAATTCAAATACATTTTACTCAATTACAATTTTTGTCAATATCGTCTTCCTCCCTTTCCTTTTTTTGAATATACCTCAGTATTTCTTGCATACCTCAGTATACTTGCATACATAAACATCTTCTTCATTTATCCTTAAATTCTAACTTTACTATTTATACATATTTGTCCTCTTTTATTCTTAAATAATTCATTCTTTTTCTTAATATATTTATATTTGTTTGTTCAGAGCCGCCTTTCTTCCTTCATCTTCTTTTTATTATACAGCAATCTTTCTCCTCAAACCTAGCCTCTCCCTCTTCTCCTTCCAACTTTCTTTCCCCACCTTCTTCTTCTCTTCTCTACTTCCCCTTCCCTTCTCCTTCTAACAAAAAGGAAGATATCTAAAGAATGACTTTCGATCTTCAGTTACAAACATAGCAATTACTGTCCCCACCCTCCCATATTCCATATCATAGTACCGTTCTTCCCATAAACAAAGCTTTTCACTCAATAAATTCCAAAATCAGCAGTTTATTCTAATCCATTTTCAGCAAAAAGTCAATAGTAAGAGTTTCTGGTATTTCATAAAAGTAATTGTAGTTCCTGCTTCGATCAAACAAGTCAATTTAAGCAATTCTGCAAACTCAGGCATCTTCAGAATTCATCCCCTCCATTACCAGTGTTTTTATAGTCTTCCTTTTAAGTATCTATAATAACCTTGTTGCAGTTAACAGGTAGTCCTCAACTTACGACCACAATTGAGCCCAAAATTTATGTTGCTAAATGAGAAATTTGTTAAGTTAGGGTTAGGGTTTTTTGCCCCACTTTATGAATTTTCCTGCAGTTGTTAAATTAGTAACATGGTTGCTAAGTAAACCAGCCTTCCCCATTGACTTTGCTTGTCAGAAGGTCACAAAAAGGGATCACATGACCCCGGGATCCTTCAACTGTCATAAATATGAACTATTTGTCAAGCATCCAAATGTAAATCATGTGACCGTGGGGATGCTGTAATGCTCATATGTGTGAAAAATGGTCATAAGTCATTTTTTTTTCCAGTGATTGTTGTAAATCGAACAGTCACTAATGAACTGTTGTAAGTTGAAGACTATCTGTTCTATATACAAATGGTCCTCAACTTACAACCACAATAGACAGGAGCTTCTATTACTAAGGCGTTCATTAAGTGAATCATGACTGATTTTACAATTTTGCTCAATTGTTAACCAATGTCAAATCATTGGTTGTTAAGTGAATCGGGCTGTCACGTTGTCAGAATATAGCTGGGAAAGTCACAAAGGACAATCACATGACCCCAGGATGCTGTAACTCATAGATACATGTCATCTGAATTTTGATCACAAGATCACAGGGACACTGCAATGGTTAGAGATGCAAGGACTGGGGAAAGGTTTTGGTTTTTTTTAAGCACCATTGTAATATGGAAATGTTGCTAAAAATGGATATAGGTTAAGGACTATCTGTATAAAACCAATTGTCAATGAGCCTTTTCTATTTAAATGTCCATAAGTCTCAATAAGAAAAAAATCCAGTTTCATCTGAAATGTTTAATTTTTAAACCTGCCTGCCTCCCTATATGCATTTATAATGGAAAAACTAATTTTGTTGTAATTTTAATCAACAATTATGTTACATTTTAGTCAGATATCTCTAGTGATGAAAGCACAGATTTTGCTAAGATATTAAACCCAGTGTTGCAGAACAGAAAGAACTATATCAAGAAGCCAGTTCAAGATACGAAAAGGCAGAAGAAAGGAGATAGACCTCTGATCAAAGTAAGGATGTTACAATTAATTAAGATGACTTCTCTGATGTGAATATCTTTTTTTTTTTCTATGTTTTGCCTTTGAATTGGTAACATTAAAACCTTTCTAGAATCATACGCATGATTCAGAATGAACACGATTTGGTTAACAAGACTCCTTTTGTCTGTAGTTATTTTGGTGATTGAGGCAGCAAACAATAAAAATTTATACCAAATTTATAATCAGGAGAAAGTTATTGCCAGCCAGACAATTAAGCCATAAGAAATCAGGAACAAGCTAACATTTTAAGCATATTATGCATAATAAATGAGTATATGTCTGGGGAAAGGTGTTTTTAATACAAATGGAGTTAGCCAATGAGTCAAAGTTCCCACTTTTGCAAAAAGAGAAAAACAAAAAGAGAAAACTCTAGCTTAATCCATTCAGGTTAGCACCTGAACATTCTCTGCCATTAACATATTGATATAGTAACCAACTGTCTAATTGATTTTGTATAGCGTAGTAGTGTAGTATATGCTAAGTAGTCAGAATCCTATTTTTCTTTTGGTGAATATAAGTTTCACCAAAATTAATCATTTCATTAATCTGAAGCTTTGACAGCTGGGAATTGAAGCACTTTAAAAACTTAGTGGATCCCAAGAATGATCCATGAATCAACAGCTAGAGTTTAAGCATGGCCTCCTCTGTGATTTGCTGTAAGCCCCTAGGAAACAGATCCTTAGTTCCAGCTGATGCATTTTTTGGCCAATCTACCATTATTGAAATTCACAGCAATCCATTAAGTGGGTTTTATGTTTCAGTTCTAAAGTGAATTCTTTGAAATGGAATTGTATCCAAAAGTTTCTTTTCCATCCTGTAGAATTTAGCCAAACACTTCATAGACGAGGAGGCAGAACTTTCTGAAGATGGGGTGGACATTTCGTCTGATGAGAGTATAAAATCAGAAGATGAATTGAGGTCTTCCCTTGTCCAGTTTCTTGATGATGAGACGCAAATTGCTCAAGATTTAAATGGTATGCAGAGAAAATCCTCCCAATCAGTTGATATTTGAACTTATCTATGTCTGAGCATCTGGTCTGATAAATAACTTTCTTAGATAAGATATATATATAAGATATATATATATATAAAAAAAATAAGAAGTGTTAATACCACTTTATAATGCCTTGGTAAGGCCACACTTGGAATATTGCATTCAGCTTTGGTCGCCACGATGTAAAAAAGATGATGAGACTTTAGAAAGAATGCAGAGAAGAGCAACAAAGATGATTAGGGGACTGGAAGCTAAAACATATGAAGAACGGTTGCAGGAACTGGGTATGTCTAGTTTAATGAAAAGAAGGACTAGGGGAGACATGATAGCAGTGTTCCAATATCTCAGGGGTTGCCACAAAGAAGAGGGAGTAAAACTATTCTCCAAAGCACCTGAGGGTAGAACAAGAAGCAATGGGTGGAAATTAATCAAGGAGAGAAGCAATTTAGAACTAAGGAGTTAGAACAATTAATAAGTGGAACAACTTGCCTGCAGAGGTTGTGAATGCTCCAACACTGGAAATTTTTAAGAAGATGTTGGATAACCATTTGTCTGAAGTGGTGTAGGGTTTCCTGCTTGGGCAGAGGGTTGGACTAGAAGACCTGCAAGGTCCCTTCCAACTCTGTTATTCTATTTCTATTTCTAATTCTAATTCTAATATTCTATTTCTAATTCTAATTCTAATTCTAATTCTAATTCTAATTCTATTCTATTCTATTCTATTCTATTCTATTCTATTCTATTCTATTCTATTCTATTCTATTCTATTCTATTCTATTCTACATGAATAAAATATTTCCATTTCTGCTCCTGGTTTTTAACTTTGAAATAGCAGTGTCTATATGTGTGTGTGTGGGTAGGGGAGTTAAAATTTCCATTACATTCTTGATAATTCCTCTCTCCGATACCTGAAGATGTTTCTTTCCTTGGAAAGAAGCTGCTCTTGATCTGCTAGACCAGGGGTGTCAAACTCAAGGGTGCATAGATCTGGCCTGCGGGGCCACCTTGAAAACAATGAAGGACAAGTCCGCGATGCCTCTGCCAACGAAAACGGAGCTCGGGAGGGCCGCACATGCCCCCCACAGCTCCGTTTTTACTGGCAGAGTGCTAGCAAAACAAACTACTAGCAAAAGTGTATTTCCCTCAGTCCCCCCACCCTCTGGGTCACCACAGGTGCCCCCCTGACATGAGTGATGTCGAGCTAGCCATGCCCCACCCCACCAAGGTCAGACACAACCCTGATGCAGCCCTCAATTAAATCGAGTTTGACATCCCTGTGCTAGATGTTTCCCTTCCAGAAGCCCACAGAGATACTTGTGTAATGAAGGTTGTAATGGATCCATAAGGCAATTTTTTTCTAAAGGTTACAGCTTTTATATGACAAAAAAAAAAATACTGTTTGGAGATCAGACTCAAGATTGAGTGCGGTCTCAGTTACTTTTTTGTCTGACTGTCTATTTTCTTTTTCTACATAGAATCTGAGATGCAGGCAGTTTATCTGAAATCTGTACGCAGTCCAGCTGTTGGCAACAAGTATAAGATGGTGCATAAAGAATTCAATCCAATAACAGTTTTCTCACAGGTAAAAAGCCAGACAAAGAAAGTGACACTGTAATAAATGGAACCACATCACAGATTGGTTTGAACCTGCAAATGCTTTGAAATGCCTAGGCGTTATTTTATTGTAAGAAACATTATCAGGGCGGGAATATACTTAATTAAAAAACACTAAAACAATCCAAATGCAACTATCACAAGTGAGAATATTTTAAGGATTGTTTTTACAATCCTACCTGAACTGTCAAAACTTGTCAGTGGTAAGACCCTTATCACAAACACACAGGGTTTTAAAGATTAGTAGGAAGCTATAGCAGGTATAAAATAGAGTGATAGCAGCAGAAACCTGCTAGTCTAGAATAACATGGATACTGCAGTTGTTGTATTGGTTGTCAATAGACTTCTGGACTCACCTCCAAGTGCTGGTTATTTCCGATAAATTCCAATACAATATTCCTAAGAACATCAAGGGTTGCAATCTTCCATGTTATCAGTGAAGAGAAATGCCTCCTCATCAGATAATAAGGCTGCAAGCAAGAGAACCAAAAAAATCTGTGCTATATCTGGAGATAAATTAGTTCTAAAATGAAGCAACTGAAATTAGCTAACTTGCTTATATTTTTGTGCCACTACCTCTTCCATCATAGTAAATCTTGCTAAAGAAAACTAAGAATCATGTTTAGAAACAAATCTTGTTTGGTTTTAGGCAATTGACAGAAAGCCTGACATCTGCAGAGTAAGATCCTTGACCTTCATTTGTTGATGACTTTATAGACACATACTTAGCCCCTCCCATTCAAGTATTAACTGAGTTTCTCTCTGTTTTAAGTTTGTGAAATCAGACAAAAGCTAGATAAAAGTACATAAGCACTAGGGAAAAAATAGTTCTTTTTTAAGCTGTCAAAAGTCAATTAAGTAGGATAAATGCACAAGTTCCATCATTCAGAGATGACTAACTACCAAGAAGATAAACCAGGGATCAAGAAAAGGTTTTATCTTGAAGATCTTAATGTATTTTTGGATGCATAATGAAATCAGGTAGGTTTTTAAGTATCCTGAACTTATGTTGTAAATTGTGTTTTTTTAAGCGCCAAAACTCTGAATTTGGATCAGTAATGGCCAGGAACCCAGTATAACTAAATATTACTGATAGTGTCTAATTAAAACTATTATTTTTGCTTCTTTCTCTCATGAGGCATAGGGACACTGTCAAACTAGTTATTAAGTCTGCATTATTATTAATCTCATCATTCCTATCATCCATCTCCTCCCACTTATGACTGTAACCTTGTTGCTGGTATCCTTACGATTTATATTGACTGTTTCCTAATATGATTTGATTGCTTATTTGTTCCCTATGATTGTCATTAAGTGTTGTACCTTATGATTCTTGACGAATGTATCTTTTCTTTTATGTACACTGAGAGCATATGCACCAAGACAAATTCCTTGTATGTCCAATCACACTTGGCCAATAAAGAATTCTATTCTATTCTATTTGTCAGGATTTGTCTTCTTTCTTCTTAGATTCCAGAGCAAGACGAATGCTACGTAGAGGACAGCTTCTGTGTTGAGGACAATGAAGAGGATAACCCCAAAAGCAGTTCCAGTGATGAAGACGTGCACATCAATTTTGACCTTTTAGGGGAAGAAAGCTTTGTGAACGGGAGAAAACAGTACCAAACCCGTCACAGGAAAAAAATGAAAGTGGTCCATGTGAAGCAGAAAACAGGAACTCCATTAGCCCCAAAGAGGTTAACTAGGGTTCGTATTCTTAACGGATCTAGTGAAGATGAGGAAGCTGATAAAAAGGAAGAGCAGATGGAATCACGAGTCAGTGTTAAAGTTGATAAGGATTCTAATGTTACTTCCTTAACTAAAGACCAGACTCTGCCCCAAAAATGCTCAGTTCTAAAACCCCAAGAAAGCCATGCCCAGGTATGCTTGGCACCAAAAGTTTTTTTGCCGGAACAATCACATTTTCCTCTTCAAAGCAAATATCAGTGCAAATCAGAGCTTGTGGGTGAACAGTTCCAGATTATACCGAAGGTAAGACTCTTTTTTTAATTACTGCTTCTTTTTGTGGATGGCTTGGAATAGTGGAATTAAGGAGTCAGGAGAAACCTTTAAAAATGATTGGTTTAAGCCTCTGCCACATTTCTCTTGAGAATCTTCACTAAAAGATTTAATAGTTTTCCTCTCATTCGCTAATTCTGCTTATATTATTAGCATACTGTACTGTGTCAGACAAGTTTGTCTATTCATTTTGCAATAAATTGTCAGACCATCCTTGACTGGTAAAATTCTAGACCACCACACTAAGAAATTGAAACAGGTTCACACAATGACAACAAAGTTGGTCCAGGAACTAGAAACAGAGCTACAAAGAGAAAATGAAGGATCTAGATAACTTTAGCCTTGAGAAAAGATGACTGAGGGATATAGTATAATCATGTACCTGAAAGCGTACAAGATCAAAAATTATTTTCTCTGGTTCCAGAACATAGAATAACAGATTTAAATTCAGGAAGGCAAATTCCAAATGAAGTAGGGGAAACTTTCTAACAGTAAGAATTCAGCAGAGACAGGTATCCATTAATTGGTGGACTGTTCTTAATTGGCTTTGTTCAAGCTGAAGCTATAAGACCTGTTCCAATCATGTGGCTCTATGAGATTACAGAAGTAGGTTATCCTGACATTTAACAAAAGGAATATATATGGACATAAAACTTTAAATTGATTGCTAAATGTTTCTTCCATAGCAATATTATAAGATAGCCATCCTCTAAATTTAAAAAATACGATTTTTCCATATTTTTTCCTCCCAACATCCCAACAGTGTTTCCAATAATGTCTCTTTAATCAGTCATTGGAAACTGCATTTTTAAAATTTAAAATTTGGAAAAAGCACCTTTGGGACAACCATGACCTGGATGATTGAGAATCTCCATAGACAGCTGTGATCTGCATTTTCTATGTAACTCTGCAGGAACTAGGTACTTTGATTGACACAGTACAAATATTAAAAGATTGTTCCCCAGTTTCTTTAGATATTTGCTGTTCTAAGCCTGCTGACTGATACGGTATTGTGATCTTTGCAGCCAGAAACATCTTTGGGGAACCCTCCTGGACTCTCTTCTTCTTCTTCTTCCTCCTGGACTCTAAAGAATTCAAAGAACCAAGCACCTCTGTGCATTCTGGTGGATAACCATGAGATCTCCTCTGGGCCAGAAGTTATTTCAACCCTGAAAACTGTTCACGGAGTCAAGGTTGAGATTTGTTCTCTGGGTTCCTGTGATTATATTGTCAGCAACCGTCTGGCGGTGGAAAGGAAGTGCCAGGCAGAATTGGTCAACAATATACATCACAGTAAAATGGTCCAGCGGATGCAACAGCTGAAGAACAAGTTCGATAGGATCTGTATAATTGTGGAGAAGGAAAGAATTAGGACAGGTGGGTATCTTGCCTGATAGGTCTCCCTCTGGCACTCCAGAGGCTCTTCAGGCTCAATTTTTAGCCGTACTGGTGATGAGATTCAGTTAAATAGGAAATAAAAGCCATATTTCACAAGGAGGTGAAGGTGGGACTAGAAACAGAATTACAAATTGGGAAGTAGCAAGAGAATTACATCACGATCCTGCCTCTTTGAGCCAGCAGTGTGCTGCAGCTGCCAAAAAAAGCCAACACAGTCCTAGGCTGCATTAACAAAGGGACAGAATCAAGATAACATGAAGTGTTAATACCACTTTATAATGCCCTGATAAGACCATACTTGGAATACTACATCCAGCTTTAGTCACCATGATGTAAAAAAGATGTTGAGACTCTAGAAAGAGTGCAGAGAAGAACAACAAAGATGATTTCGGGAATTGGGTATGTCTAGTTTAATGAAAAGAAGGACTAGGAGTGACATGATAGCAGTGTTCTAATATCTCAGGGATTGCCAGAAAGAAGAGGGAATCAACCTTTTCTCCAAAGCACCTGAAAGCAGGACAAGAAGCAACAGATGGAAACTAAACAAGGAGAAAACCAACCTAGAACCAAGGAGAAATTTCTGACAGTTAGAACAATTAATCAGTGGAACTACTTGCCTCCAGAAGTTGTGAACGCTCCAACACTGGAAATTTTTAAGAAGAAATCAGACAAACATTTGTCTGAAATGGTATAGGGTTTTCTGCCTGAGCAGGGGGTTGGACTAGAAGACCTCCAAGGTCCCTTCCAACTCTTATTCTGTTGTTCTGAGATGAGCAGATTGTGGATCAGAGGAAAGATCTTTTCTGTGACACTCTTATCACTTTTGGAATATTTTATCGTTAGAGGTGTGCCTTTTCTATCATTCCTGTTTATTTTTAAAGCGGTGAAAGCAATTTTACTCAGACATTCAAAGTTTAATAAGGAGTCTCGTATTCTCCCAAACTGCTCTCACTTTGTTCTCACTTTGTTTGTAGCTGAAGATTTTGACTTTCGTCTAGCTACTGGTATTTTACTTTACCATTATTATCTCCCCTACTTTGTATTCTGATTTTGTTGTTTGTTATATATTTTACCATAAGTGTATACACACACAGATACTGTACCTACGTGTGTGCATGTGTGCATATAGGTTTTATCTCACTTATTTTATGGGCTGTAATAAGATTTAGTTTGAGATTTGATTTGATTTGATTTTGGGCTGGGTTATTGTTGCTTCTTTTATATATTTTTAACCGTGGTTTATTCAACTCAGGTTTTATTTACTCACATAATAAACGGAACTATAAACTAATCACAGGAACTGGGCCTGCACAAAAGACTAGGCTAAAATATCATTAGCTTGTTTGTTTTTTTAAACAAGTTTTATTGGTTTTTTCTCCTCTCCCGCATTCACCCACATCTTTTTTTTTTTTTTTGAACAGAGTGTTAGCCATTTCTTATCTTATACAATTAATCAAATTCAAATACATTTTACTCCATTACAATTTTTGCCAAAATCGTCTTACCCCCTTTTCTTTTTTTTTAAACATATCTCAATATTTCTATATTTGCATACATAAACACCATCTTCATTTGTCCCTAGATTCTAATTTTACTATTTATTTATATTTATTCTCTTTTATTCTTAAACAGTTCATTCTTAACTTAATATATTTATATTTGTTTGTTCGGAGTTGCCTTTCTTACACTCCATCTTTTTTATTGTACAGCAATCTTTCTCCTCAGACATTAGCTTGTTCCTGTATCAGTGTGTTGTGCCATCGTAGGAGAAATGTTGAACTTTTGTCTTTCAGGAGAGGCATGGAAGGTATTCCACAGAACCAAGCACTATGATGGCATGTTATCAGCATTCATTCAGGCAGGAATCAAAGTGCTCTTCAGTGCCTGCCAAGTGGAAACTGCTGACTTGCTAAAGGAACTAGCTTTGGTGGAACAGCGGAAGAACGCAGCCATCCGTGTGCCAACAGAAGTGGAGGGACCCCGACAGGATGTTTTCCGTTTCTATTTGAGCATTCCCTGCGTCAGCTATACCCTGGCTCTGGCCTTGTGCCACCATTTTGGTTCTTTAAAAGAGGTGGCAAACAGGTACAGTTCCCCTTTGATTGTTCTGATCTCGACCCTTTGTGGGATACAGGCAGATAGGTTGGTTACAGTGCCTACGTTTTGTTATTCACTTTCGAATCTGACGGCTTTATAGAACTGTCATAGTAAAAGCCATTTCTTCTTCTTCTTCTTCTTCTTCTTCTTCTTCTTCTTCTTCTTCTTCTTCTTCTTCTTCTCTTTCTTCTTCTTCTTCTTCTTCTCCTTCTCTTCTCCTTCTCCTTCTCCTTCTCCTTCTCCTTCTCCTTCTCCTTCTCTTCCTCTTACGAAACTTCTAATCTGACAGTTTATGATTTATCCAATGATAATGTATTAGGAACTGTCATATTGAACAAAAAGTATAAAGTGATTCTATGAAAGTCTAGTTGGATATTTTCACATTTATTGTTAGAATCAGAATCAGAATCGAGCTGGAAGGGACTTTGGATGTCTTCTAATCTAGCCCCCTGCTCAAGCATGAGGTTGATCTCTCTCATAGCTTAGAGAGATTGTATGTCATTCGTTTTGATGTTATTTTGTACGTTGTTTATTTGCCATCCAGAGTCACGAAAGGTGACCACATAAAATAAATTTAAATTAAGTTAAATATAAATAAAGGTAGCCACAAGAATTTATAGGACCAGAATATTTAAGCCAACCACACAGGCAGATATTACCATTATAACCTTGTGAACCTCTCTGATTATCCTGTCTGTTCTAGTAATTTTCATATTCTTCCCCTTTGTGTTTTTGCTGAAATATCCTGGTTACAACTAGTGCCTTAATGAGAAGAACTCCTTTCCCTCTTCCTTTCCAGTACCCCAAGGGAGATGGCAGGCCGCACTCAGGTCAATCAGCAGAAAGCAGAGGAAGTATACCGCTACATCCAATACACCTTTGACACTCAGATGTTGCCCATGATTGTCACATGACCCTCTATAAATCAAAGTGGGGCATCCCTTTTAAAAAGAAGCACTTTATTACTACATTCCTTCAGTGTAAGATATGTAAATAAAATTTCAAACAAAACGAGCTTCTGTATTGCAAGCTGTCTTTATAGAAGTAGCAAGTGTGTCTTTCCTTGGTACAGGTTCCTTATTCCATTGGTGTGAGACGAGGAAAACATCTTTCCACTTTCTCTTGCTTCTGAAAGCAGCGGTTTTTCCCAGGATAAAAGTTTGATACTATGAAAACCATCCATGTAGTCCTCCTGTTCCAGCTATAGATAATTGGAGAGGAAGATGTTCAAAGAAAGAGGAATGGCTGGAATTTGTCAAATGCACAGAATTGTCTTCTGCTTTGGGGTGTATATTAGGTGTTCTGCAAAGTGTTTTACTTTGAAGTTCTATATTCATGTCAATGAAGCACTCCTCAAAATGTTGATGTAGACAAGTAGCCATATGGTCTGGAAGGCTGTGGAAACAACCAAGAAAAAGCCTTTGAAGCAGCTATGCTGAACTTTGGTTGTGGTTGGTTAATGTGGTTATGGGTTTTGAGCAAAAGTGCTTTACTCATACATGTTGCAAAGGATCTCTTTCACTTGCCTTATGTCTGCAATCTGCATAGCATGGGCATAAAAACGTTTAAACGTGGAATAAAACAGCTTTGTTCAGAATTTCTTTGGAAATATTTTGAGTGTTCCAGCAGAACAAACTTCAGACTGTTGAATGATCTTCATAAGAGTGAGAATCCCCTTTCTTTTCTCCTAAAGCTACAGAAATAGATAGGTTACTAATCATACTACCGATCATCTTAAGTCAACAAGTTCATATTGAGCCTTGGTGGCGCAGCGGACTAAAGTGCTGTTAAGTAGCACTTAGCTGCCAGCTGCCTGCAATTACTGCGAGTTCAAATCTCACCAGGCTCAAGGTTGACTCAGCCTTCCATCCTTCCGAGGTAGGTAAAATGAGGACCCAGATTGTTGGGGGCAATAAGCTGACTTTGTATAAAAAAGAACACCGCTTAGGGGGGGCCGAAAGCCCTACTAAGCAGGTATATACAAAAGTATGAAGGCTATTGCTTAACGCATTGTAAGCCACCCTGAGTCTCTGGAGAAGGACGGCAAATAAATTGAACCAATAAATAAATAAATAAATATTTTTTAAAAATGCATTTCTAAAATTCCCATTGCGAATGATGGTAGCACTAAGAAAGTACACTCAGCAACTAATCAGGCAACAATAGACTAACGTAGGCCATGAACATCATCACCAGAATATATTTATAGGGTTGTTCATGGTCTATAAACAGAATAAAATAGTAGGACAGTTTGTGGTGGTTGGAGGTGGGTGGCAGAGTTGTTATTGTATTATTTTCCCTGTTGCAGAGCTTCATCTCTTCCTGAGCTGGAGTTGACATTCCAAGACTTTAAATCTTGAGCGACTGGAACATACCTTTGTTTGGCAAGACCAGAAAAAGGGAATTGTAAAGCTAAAAGTCTGTAGAGATTCTCAGTCATCCAGATCATGGTTGCCCCAAAGGTGTTTTTTTAGGAGGCAACTGTTTTTTCTTTGAAGACGTTTCGCTTCTCATCCAAGACGCTTCTTCAGCCCATCCAACTACCCACTATCCTGCCAGAGCTAAAGAAGCTTCTTGGATGAGAAGCGAAATGTCTTCAAAGAAAAAACAAGGAAGTCCAATTGCTTCCTAAAAAAGCACCTTTGGGACAGGAAAAGGGAATGTAATCCTTCAGGTCTTGATGGATCTCTCAGCTTTTGTACCATTGACAGTGCAAATCTGTTTGGTCTCGTTGTAAGGATTGAGAGCATGGATCACTGCATTCCAGTGTTTCTGCAGTGCCTACAGTATCTAACTATGAGTCCATCTAGTTTTGTTCATGTCACACTGCTAATAGGAGCTGCATTTGCAGTTCAGAGCAGTTGGGGTATGGTTATCTCTTAGCCCCACTTCTCCAAGTTGACTTTACTCATCCAGTGAGAACCGCTGTTAAGACTCCCTCCTTCTCAATAATGCTCACTCTTCTGTGGAACAATTTTCCACAGAAGCAACCTAGATTTTCAGACAGTTTTTCCAAAGCTGAATCTGAAAATAACATTTGGAAAGATGGTGAATATTTTGAGAAGATAGAGAATTGTAAGGTGGGTGAAAACCAAGCAAAAGGGAAATTAAAGCTCCTTTCTTCTTAACCAGTCCGAATATTGCTTGACTTTAAGTACAGAGGATTAAATAGATTATCCGAGGCAGGATGGAGTAGGGATAGTCATACAACAGTTACCTTGCCAATAATCCATTTGTCTCCTCAAGGTCCATTTGGGTCTATAGTCTTCATTGATACTTGAGCAGTAGCATCCAAAAAGATTCTCCAATGTTGCATATGTGATCTTATCTCTAATCCTCGCCCATTTCTTCCTCTCAGAGCTAATGCATTTGGTTTGGAAAGTGTTTGAAAACAAATTAATCAAGCCAGGCTAAAATATCAGAAACAATGTAAAATGCAATATTTTATATTTGGGTGGTTTTTTTTGTTTGTTTCAAGGCTGAGCAAAAACTCTCACACTGGATCTGTTGGAAAGCAATATTTCCAAGTTTGTTTCCGAGCTCAGAATGAAGAACAAAGGGAATTACTGTATTTTTCAGACTATAAGACGTACCCCCCCCCCTCCAAAAGTGGGTAGAAATTACTGTGCGCCTTATAGAGCGAATATCGTAGGGGAGGGCAGGGTGGTTGGTGCAGCGCTGATCAGCTGTTCTAGGTGACGATGGGCGGCGGCAAACAGACCATGGTGGCGAACAGGCTATGGCAGCGGCAAACGGGCCATGATGGCAAATGGGCCGCATAGGCAGATTTTTTTTCTTGTTTTCCTCCTCTAAAGCTAATGTGCGTCTTACAGTCCGAAAAATATGGTGTTTGAAAGAGGTAAAGTTTATTTCTGAGGGCATAACTGGTGAACCCTCCCCCAGAAGCCCTTTAGGGAAAGTCTTGTCTTTGTCTTTTGAAAGCATGCCTGCCCATCCTCTAGGAATTCCAAGAAAGTGAACTTAGTTGGGTTTCCTCTGAAGTCAGACACCCTGCTTTGTTGTGGTTTCTGCTTATTCAGCATCCAGATGGAAGCAGCAATCTCTTTGAGGCAAGGATCTTTCGTTATTTAATTAAGACGCAGGATCCAATCTGGGTCAGTCACTGGGGCCAGAGGTTTTGTCTTCCCAATTTTCAGACTCGTGCTGGGGTCCATCCTTAGGGAACTTCTCTGTGGGCTTTGGGCTGTTCTGTGTATAGTACTATATTTATATGGTGCCTGTTGTGTGTAGTTTTTAGATGTAGATTGGGAAATTGATGGCTGGCTATTAAGTTGTTGGCTGTTGTTTCTTTGTGCTGTCAAGCCCTTGCCTCCTAAGTATTTGTTAAGCTGGGGGTAAATTAGTATTCGTTGATTGACGAGGGGCCTGTTTCCCAGGCTTCAATCATTTCCCTGGCTGTTTTTGGGCCTGCTCGTCCAACAATCTTAGTAGCTGCAAAATTGAATGCATGTCCTTGTTTATTGCAATGTGAGGCTGCATTATCTTTTGTCCTGCACAAAAAAAGAGCAGCCAACAACTTAAAAGGTAGTTTTTAACCATTTGCCCTTATAGCGGGAAGAGTGAATGGCAGCAAGACGTGATTTCCTTCCCATACATCGTTTCTCATTACAGGCGGCTCGAGGAACAAATTGCAAACTCAGTATTTTGCATATTTCTTTTCCCAAGGTCTCTTTCCAGCATGCGAAGAAGAGCTGGCCATCAAATGCCTTATTGAAATTCTCATTAAGATAACATTAGGAGGAACAGAAAAGATAGAACAAAGAAATTAGGAAACACAAGCAATTTTCTCAATAAGTAGAAATAAATTGGGCTGTGCATCTGGTCTGCTATGTAGTGTAAAGAAAGCTGCTTCTAACTTGTGTTTTTCTATCCCTTCGGTTTTTAAAAAAACATTGATAGATTTTACTGTAAAAACTGCCTAGAAGCAATCTCTAATTACCGGGTCTGTGAACTGTTACAGCCATTAATAGTAAATATTGCTAGCTCAGCCAGAACTTGCTCTAAAAGTGATAAAGCTCTTAAAAGTATACATCTGTAGGTTTGGGAATGTAAGCAAGTATGTAGGGTTACTTAATGCATTCTTTAAAAGATTTTGCGCATTCAATATTTCACTCTCTGAAAATCAGAGGATAATAGACCTATTCTCAGTAAGTCCAAATAATAATAATAATAATAATAATAATAATAATAATAATAATAATAATAATTTTATTTCTATACCGCCCTTCTCCCAAAGGACTCAGGGCGTTGTACAGCCAATTTAAAAACACAAGACACAACAATGATTAAAATTAAAATAATTAAATAGATTTGGCAGATTTAAAACCTCAAAAATTTAAAATACCCCAATTTAAAATTATTATGTTGATAGCCCGGCCTGGCGGAACAACAGGGTCTTCAATGTGCAACGAAACACCCGGAGGTCGGAGATCTTACGTATTTCCGGGGGCAGTTCATTCCACAGGGCTGGGGCTCCCACAGAGAAGGCCCTCCCCCTGGGTGTCGCCAGCCGACATAACTTGGCTGATGGCACCCTGAGGAGACCCTCTCTGTGGGAGCGGACTGGTCGGTGGGAGGCTATTGGTGGCAGAAGACCGTCTCGATGAGCAGAAGATCCATTAGAGATGCCTGTGGAGTGGCCTTACCTGATTATCTGGGAACAGTTTGGTCCTGTTGAACCGGATGAGATAGACAGGATCCTCGATGCTGTCAGTGTAACTACAGGTAGTCCTCAACTTATGATCACAAGGCCAAAATGAGGATGAAGGTTCATTCTTCGAGCTTGTGCGTTGGGTTTCTGAACATTTTGTTACTAGGCTAGGTAATATCTTTAACAGAGTTTAAGGGATGTCAGTGTTCTTCTGTTGATAAGAGCTTCAGGTGTGGTGTGTCAAGTGAGGGTCTTGTGATGACTCAGCTGTGAGTCATCAATGCGTCTTGTTTTGGGTCTTGTGATAAGGAGATTACATACAGCTGACCCATCACAACATTTGACACACCCACACCTGAAGCCCTTATAAACAGAAGAACATTGACATCCCCTAAACTCCACTGAAGATGTTACCTAGCCTGGTAATGAAACGTTCGGAAGCGTTCATCCTACTTTATCTCTGAAAATTTTTCTTTACCATGTAAGAAAATTATTTATGCACTTGAAATAACTCCTATGAGAGCCAATCACAGATATTAAATGTACACTGATTTCCAGCAGTAATATTCATTCATTAATACAGTACAGTAAAATTATTTTCAGTAGGCCTATCTTGAGAAAAAGTTTAATGAGAGAATTGATTCTTTTTCTATTATTTTCCCTCCTCCCTGTCCATTGCCTGCAGTGACAATGGCTCACTGTTATTTGTACTGTATAGTAGTTTTTTTGAAGTGATTTTGAAAATTTGTAATATGTATGCAGTTGCTGATGAAGGCGTTATCAGTGTGTTATAAAATATGTAATGAATATTATTGACTTAGAAAAGGCAGAATTTCAAAAAACCTTATTCCCTTAAATAAAAAGTCCAGAATAGTTATTCTACTACTTTCCTCTTCTCTAAATTGTTAAGAATGTAATACTACTAGTTTATACATTGATAGAATAGCTTTGTTTACATAATGTATTACTCCAGATTTATTGAACTCATTGGTCTTGGTTCACACAACATACCAGACATAAACTAACCATAGAGTGGGCTAATACATGTTTCAGTTATATATTATGTATCCAGTTACACTGTAATTGCCAAATTAAAAAGGTATCAAAAACATTTAAAAGATACTAAGCAAGTAAGTTTAATACAAAAATACATAAGCACTGCTGTTGGAACAGAAAATAGAGATTCTTTGTTATTACGAACAATACTCTTGACATTTATCGTACAAGTAACTTCTAAAAACATTATTTTACTTCCATTAAAAAGGTAATTACCACAGCTACCTCTTTACATAATCTCTGCATCACATCTAAAAAAGAAAGCTAAGTATGTGTGTGGTAGATTTTTCTCTAATCTGAACATTGAGAGTACAGAACTGTGGAACCACTTAGTTCAACTCAAATCAGGCTGGAATCAAAACTCAACTGTTAGCAGTTCATTAAAAACATCCATAGTTATGGAGTTAGAGCCTTGATCAGGTGGCTATGTGGAAAAATACATATCATCCTCTTCATCAGACTGCATTTCTTGTTCCACTTCAAAGAGATTCCTCACTCCAGCAGAAGTTGCTGCATCTATAGCAAGGTAAGAAAACCCCCCCAAGGATGATAGTATACAAAATGGTCCCATATAATACCATCCTCAGGTACAATCTTATAGCCAACGTGAAAAGCTCCACTGATCTTGGAGAGAAATTTTATACTGCATGAAAACCCACACCAAACCAACTTAAGTTAAAAAGAGACTATGGCAAACCATATGCATAGATATTCACAATCCCAGGAGTCTGATTAATTACCTTTTAACGATTATACAGAAATTACTTCAATGTCCACAAGAGCAGATTACCTCTGTAATTGGTGTGGGGCAATCAAGTGTTCATAATTATGGATTTCAATTTCTGAATATCTGCATTTAAAATTGAGATTTCCCACCCTGGGAAATATACTCGGGGGAAAATACAGGTAGTAAAATTGGATGCCTAAATCTGAAACTAATTCTTAACTCTGCAGTCACTAAATCTCATGAGCTGCTTTGTCTGCTGGCTTCATGTTAAGGTTTGCAAATGAATGGTGCAAAAGAAAATACTTTCAAGATTACAAATCCTGAAACATGCCGTGTTAATTACTGCTACTGCAATGTTGCTCATATGCAACAGATGGCTTCCTCTGTAGACTACTATTTCCATCAGGGTGGATAAAAATCAATGATTTTTTTTAAAAAATCAAAAAAATCAGATTTTTAATTTAAATCGGATTTTTTTGATTTTTATCGAATTTATTTTAATAAAAAACTTTTGGGGTAAAAATCTATTGTAAGATAGTTTTCTATTTAAGATACATAAATAATTTAGTTTATTCAGCATGAAATGGAGTTTAGTTATGTAGCATGAGGCTGTATATTCTGCAACACTGGGACTATCGGTGAGTCAACAGTGGGTCAAAGGAGTAGCAGAGATGACAATTGCTCTTTAAAAATTATGATTTAAATTGAGTTGATTTAAATCAAGCCTTTTTACTAGTGATTTAAATCATGATTTAAATTGTGATTTAAATCAACTCGATTTAAATCAAATCCACGCTGATTTCCATCCCTTCGTTTGACACAGGTAGTCCTCAGCTTACAAAAATTCGTTTAGCAATCATTCTAAGATATGATGGCACTGAAAAAAGTGACTGATAACTGTTTTTCATACTTGACCATGGTCACACAATTAAAGTCAAATGCTTAGCAACTGACTCATTTATGATCGTTGCAGAGTCCTGGGCTCATGTGATCACCTTTTGACAAGCAAAGTCAATCGGGAAGCCAGATTCACTTAACAACCGTGTTACTAACTTAACAACTGGAGTGATTTGTTTAACAACTGTGGCAAGAAAGATTGTAAAATGGCCCAAAATTCACTTAACAAATGTCTTGCTTAGCAACAGAAATGTTGAGCTCAATTGAGGTCATAAATCGAGGACTACCTATACTACCCTCACATTCATATCATGCACAGACATTTCTTTGAAACCTCTCACAGGAGGAATGGCAATAGCACTTATCAGTGCTTTTACAGCCCTCTCTAAGCGGCTTACAGAGTCAGCATATTGTCCCCAACAATTTGGGTCTTCATTTTACCCACCTTGGAAGGATAGAAGGCTGAGTCAACCTTGAGCCTGGTCAGATTCAAACTGCCAAATTGCAGGCAGCCGGCAGGCAGCAGAAGTAGCCTGCAGTACTGCATTCTAACCACTGGGCCATCGCAGCTCTACTATATATAAGGCCAAGAACATCCTTTCCTTCATTTGGCAATGATAATGAGAAAGCTCTTGTGATTATCCAACCCATAGGTCCCCAGTCTTTTTGGACTGTCAGAAACATTTTGAATGTTGAGCACAAATTACAAATAGGATGCTTGCCGATTCATAACATATCTATTAATGACATACCTTTTATTTTGCAGTCTGCAGATTTCCAACTTTGTTACATTATTTAAAATTCTTCTTTTAAAAAACACAGGTCACCGTGGCAGCCATATAGGTAGATGACCAGAATTGGGACCTGTACGTCCATTGCTAAGCAAGGAGTGATCCGTTGTTAAAGTGAGCCACAATCAATTTCAACATTTTTGCCATGGTTGTTAAGCAAATCACAGCGGACGTTAAGCGAATCACGTAGTTGTTGAATGAATATGGCTTTTTCCTCATTGATTTTGCTTGTTGGAAGCTGGGAAGGTCACAAACAATGATCACATGACCCAGAATGCTGCACTTGTGATAAATATCGGTTGCCAAGCACTCAGGTTTTGATTACGTGACCCTGGGATGTTGTGACAGTCATAAGTGCAAGGACCAGTTGTAAGTCACTTTTTTCCATGCCATTATAATGTTGAACAGTCACTAAATGCATAACTAAATCGAGGACTAACTACATTGATGGTGCCATGCTGGGGACTCCCAAATCTAATCCTAAATCCTGACAACGTAGTGTAAAGCAAGTGAAACAGGCCTACCTTCAAAATTAAAGACATTTGTTCTTCGAGACATGGGAGTAGTGAACACTGTCGGAGCCTGATGGAAATAAAAGATACATTACTTTCCACAAGCAAAAACCTTGTAGAAAAGCTTCGTGGCAAAACAAACAAGCCAGCTAAGAACACCGGACTGCAGTTTAGAATCAATAAAGCCATGGAATATGCAGTTTATGATCCAGCTCTGTAATCCTGCCATGCTACGTTCCTAGGTACTATATGCAGGCAGAGGAAGGAGATGTTAGTTTCTCGATTAGGTTAGTCAGTAGGTAACCAGCCAAGAATTATTTTTTCAAGGGGCTTTTCCATTTCCCATTTTTAGCTGTTAATAAAGCTGTTTGCTTCTGGAGTGGATTTGATAACTATTTTTATTTATTCAGGGGGGGAAATGTATTGTTACTGAGAAAATAACCAGGTCCTATGAATAGCTTTAGATCCCCCTCAGAGAGATAAGGAAAATGCATGAATTATTTTTTAAAAGATGCAGGAATCTAATTTGTCTTCATATGTGATAAATGAAGGAAAGGCATTACCGCTTTCTTCTTTACATTCAGCCATGTGCGTCCCTTGCCTTTCATATTATTTTGCATGCGGAAGACATGTTTTTCACAGCTTTCCCTAAAATAATAATAAAAAAATTTAAATGGAGATTCTATGTATGTGAATGTGTCTCACTTACTCACTCCCAAGAAGCAAGAACTACTTTGCTTATTGTCAGGCTGTAGCAGCACTCGCTGCTTATTCTTACCACCACCACCACCCCCAAGTTGTTGCTCATTATCCTTTTCAGTAATTCTCTTCCTGCACTTGCCACCCTATCCCAAAACAGCATATTCCAGAATGCTCAAATACCCACATAAGCCAACATCCCTGTTGCTTGACTCAGTCCTATTTTTATTGTTGGAACAGTATATTTATGTGTGAATTTTGCACACTTGTCAGCAATGACCTCAGTGAACCTAGAATGAGTTCTGCTCATAAAAAGGCAGATACGTTTGCCTTTCAAAATAAATATAATCTATCCAGAGTACCTACCTATCAAGAGATTCCAGCATGCCAGGGCTGATATGATCACATTGGGGTGTCTTCAACCAGGGGAAAATAGCTGAAGCAGGTGTAATAGGATGTCTGTCTTTCAACTGGAAAACATCTTCCTCTGGGGCCACGCAGAACTGTGGCAACTACAGATCATATCTTGGTTATCTCCAGAAAGAGAAGGTGTTTGCTGTAAGTTTACTATGATATTATCCCCATCCAAGAGCATCTTTCTTATGTTGCCTGCATTCCATTTCATTCCTCCACCCCCATTAGAAGATGATGCATTTATTAGAAATTATCCATAATTAAAGTGATGATAGCATTTTTAATTAGGTGAAAGTAACATAGTTTCAGTTGATGAAGTGGGCCTTACCAACAGGATGAATCGTATAGGTAGGGTAATGATTGTAAAGCTGTTAAGAGTTTTGAGGTTGTGAAGATTTTTAAGCGGAAAAGGCCCAGAAGCAGATAGAAAGTTGAGTAAATGATAAGCAAATGGAAAAGGCAGATGCCTAATGTAAAAAGTATATACTATTAAAGTAAAAAGCTAATTTTAAAAACTTGAATTCTAAAGTTTTTAAAAAATCAAAGGACCAACAGTTTGCTGCTACAGATGGACTGAATTCCAGAAAATGGTTCACGTATAAATAACACTTAGAAAAGCAGAGTAAGATAATAGGGTGGGTATAATTTTTTCTATATTTTCTTTCTTTTGTACTGTCTTCTACCAGCTATCCACAACTAACAGTGTATTTGCAACTCTCTGCAATAGCTAGAATCCCAATGAATACCAGATATTTTAGGGAATGTCTGTTGTAGAGATACAGTATATACATTTTGGACTAATCTCAAGATCTAGACATAAGCCACGATTCTATAAATGCATTGCTGAAGACAAGCACAAAATCAAGAATGAATTTATTTCACACCATCTGAGCCCAGGAAAAGGAAAACAACTTTCCATCTTGTTTTGAACATTTCTAATATCCTGTCTGATGGAACCCTGGCAGAAATATTCCAATATAAACAACAGATGTGATATTTACTTTTGTGTTCCTATTTTGGAAAGGTGTGGAAGCAAAGATGTCATCGTAGTTATCCTTGGGCATCTGTTCGAGGAAGTTCCGCATCTGTTGTTTCCTTTTCAGGGTTCCCACCTTTGCCAATGGCTGTTGTGTCCCCCTATCTACCAGCAAGAATGATACAAACTAACATGGAAATTCTTTTTTTGCAAGAGGATGGAAATTGCAGACAAAGGTTAGAAGCCACTTTTAAAAAACCTGTTATTTTCATTAATCTGAACTTTTAGATTGGAATTTTGTTCACTCCCTACACTAACTGTGTTTAAACAACACCATACACAAACAGCTTCATCAAACCATTTTAAAGACAGAATTAGTTTGTACATAGCCACCTTTTCCAACAAGTGAACAATAATACACATAAGCACCCTATTATTACCTGAGTATCTCTGTCCAAAATTCTGAAAATTTATCTCAATATTCTCGGGTACAGATTCAAAAAAATAGCCTTTATTCATCTTAAAACAGAAAGTGCTTGCCTAATTTTGCAAAATTCAAGTGCACCCCTAAACAAATAAGAAAAGTGCTATGCTTTTGCTGAAAATCTACCCAGACTCCCACCCTTCCATGCTCCCAGAACGGAAATCTTGACACTTGTCTGGCTTTGCATGGAAGAAGACAGGGAAGAGGTCAGGACTTGTACCTCTTTCTTCCTTTTTCCCAGGCTTGGCGGTCTTATTTGGGGCCCGTTTCTTCCCTTCCTGCTCTGCCATGTATTTTTGTTGGCATTCTTCAGCAGATCGTGTTCTCAGAGTCTTTGCCACATCCATCCAGAAACCACTTTTGTGTTTGGGAAAAGATGCCACTGCCCTATAAAAATATGAAAGATTCAGTGAAGCACGTTATGTTATAACTTTGGTGCCGACAGTATGAAAGTTAGACACGATATAGAATCTAAAAGGGGAGGTAGAAGAGAGAAGAAAAAAAGATCAGGAATTTTCAAAAAAAAAAAAAAAAAGTTGGGGGTTGTATAGGAGGCAAATTTTTGCAGGATTGGATAGGGGATTAGAAAAATAAAGCTTTCAAATCATTTTGTTGACTAATATGGAATCAGATAGTTATCCTTGCATTAGAAGAGCTCTGTAAGTCACAGCTATACAGACAGCATCTTACAGCATAAGGGAAAATTATCGTCCAACCATCCCTACTTGCCTGTACAACTTTTCCAATTCTTCTTCAGTCCAGTTTTCATTAGTGTCTGGAAGAGACTCCACAGCATTCCTTAACTTGCTCTGGTTGTATGGCTTTCTAGTCATAGGCAAGGCTTTTGGACTAGTTGAAATGTAACCATTAGTTCTCTTGGTAGGTATTTTTATCTTACTTTCTTTCACAGGAAATTCCTCTAGGCTGTTTTCACTTTCAGTCTCTGATGCAAGAGCATTCTTTCTGGCTCTGTTGAACCACTTCTGTGATTTTTGTCTATTACTTTTCTCTAACTCAGAACTGATAGCCAAGTCAGGAGAAGAACTCTTGTTACTTAGTTCTTCCAGCGTGTCCTCCTGGACAAAGTAAGAACAGTTTGTCTTTCTGCTCTGAGAAGGTGCTACACAATTCTCTGTACTTTTTTGCTCACATAATGGTCCTTGTGTATTATTACACTCCTTGTTGAACGTTTCTCTTTTGAAAGAAGGCCGTGTTTTCCTTTTAATACATGGGATCTCTTCACTAGATTCATCTTCATCTGTGCAAGGAATGCTTTCCACAACTTTCTCAATTTGTTGGTGTTGTTTCAACAAATTTAATGGGCAGTTCAAAGTGTCTAATTCTACATCAGCCAAGTTTCTTTCATAGCAAGTAATGTTTCCACACTCCTTAGTCACATTTTGCTCATTTCTGGACCTCCTGTTGGAGTGCTGCTTTTCTTGCATTATTTTCTTTTTCAGAGGTGTCAGCATAACAGCGGCTCTTTTCTTCCAAATATCTTTAATGATTAATTCAGGGTCATTTCCTTCAATGTCTGAAATAAGATGTTGTGACTGTTGCTTCAATTTACATTTAGTTTTCCTGGTTATATTCTGAGATTTCATATTAATTTTTCCTAGGTAAAAATTAAGTTTTGGAAATAAAAGTTAGCTTAGGTTCTAAATCAATGAAATTATAATTTGTTAATAGAATTAATTTCTTCTTCACCTTTCTGTTCTGCAGATATTCAAGGCAGCTGACAGGATTTAAACAGCAAAAGCAAAACATAACATTTAAAAAATAAAAAGCAATACAAATCTTACATTAAAATTAACCATTAAAAGCATAACAAAAGATGTGTGTCTTTTAAAAGTACTAACAGAGGGAGCAAAAAATCAGCTCCAAGGGGATGTGTTCCTTACTATTGGAGTATGGGAAAATCCTCTCTTACATGCCAGAAAGTGGGGGGGGGGGGGGCGACATTAAACAGAGGGGGCATTTACAAAACAGCCACTCATGAAGGACTGAAAACAGGACTGAGACAGATTTGTAAAATGAGGGCAATCCTTTCTTTAAGCCCCAACAGTTCAAATTGTGCAACCACTGCATCTCTTTTCAATACAAGTAAATAATCCCTGTATCTTTCATTGGTTAGCAGCCAAATCATCCTATTTAACATCATCTGCACCTTCCAGACAATTTACAAGCACAGCCTAAAGGGAGCATTTTGTATAGTCATATCATGATCACCAAGGTATAGAAAACATTTCAGAAAACTGAAATGTGCCTGGTACAATAAGGATTGCACAAGGCATGTAATGTGTAAATGTATGGAAACCCTTCTCATCACAACCATGTCCAGTAAGTGCTCAGGATCACAGAGTATGCCCAAACTCTGAACTATGCAAGGCAGTGCAACTCTATCCAAAATGATAATTTCAATCTCTGAGTCTACTTTCCTATTTATCAACAGCATCACTGCTTTGTCTTGATTTAATGTCAGTTATCATCCCTTTCAAACCCATTATTCATCAGTTACCTGGCCCGGATCATTTGAACCATATTTTGTTGTGGCTTGCACCAATTGACCAGGGGGTAATTCGTCCTAACATGCAGGGCTCCTCACTTTTGGATCACCAAATCAATCCAAACAGAGTATCAAATCCAGTATGTGCACAAATTGATATACGGAGTTGTTGGGACAGACCATGATGATCAGAGGAGATGACTTTTTAGATGAAGAATTTGAATTGAGTACAAGGTAAAGTACAAGGAGAAAGGTTAATTTAATGCCACACCAAGATTAGTGTAGCCAGTTTGGGAAGACAGAAGACAGGGGATAAACCATATCCCTGCATAGCTCTGGCCAACCAAATGCAATAGCTTGCACTTAAAACTATGAAGAGTCAACACATCATCAAGAGAAGTGCAGACTGTGGGCACTGCATTTCCAATCCCAGTTTGCTGTAGCCTGCTGTATTACTAAGTACTACAGCAGATGGAGCTGGGGAAGATGAATTTTCCACAATTCCCTTGCAACAATACTGTCCTTCTGAAAGAGGATAGATCTGCAATTTGGCCCACACTGATAAAGGTGAGCTAAACGTTCTATAGAGCTGGGAATCTATGTTCTACTGGTTGTTAGCCAATGGTTATCATCTCCCATTATTATCCATATTAGCTGGGGCTTCTGGGTATTAAGAATTCAGCATTATCAGAACAACTACAGATTACTCATCCCAACTTAGAATTTTTCCTATGGACCATCTTCTTACAGCTTTTTTGATATAGTTTGGCTCTCAGTTTTAATACTCTGTTTAATGTTTTTATGTTTTACTTTTTATGGCCAATGGATCTCAATGGAAGGTGATACAAAAACAGGAGATGGAATGGCGTGTTAAATGTGGTTGGCAGGATTTGGCAAGTTAAGCGTAATTTTCAAGAACCTCCCCATATGACTGAAGAAAAAAAGTTTTCAATCAGTTTTGTGACCATTGCTGTGTTCCAAGGTCATGTGATCACCTTTACAACCTGCGAGTGGCTACAAGTGGCGCAAAGAACCATGGAAAGATTCATGCTCGGCATTACAAGACAAGATAGAAAGACCCACGCATGGATTACAGAACAAACAAAAGTATCATCAAGAGAGTAAAAGTATTGAAATGGAAATGGGCTGGTCACATAGCAAGAAGAACTGATGGCAGGTGGACTAAGGCAATCATAGAATGGATCCCCTTGATAAAAAGCATCCACAAAAGAGACCTTAAACAAGATGGATCGATGACATCAGCAAGTATTATGGGCCCAACTGGCAAAGGAAAGCATAAGACCATATTGGTTAGAAGCATGAGGAAGAGGCCTTCGTCCTACAGTGGCTACAATGAATTAATGTTTTACATTAATTTAACTGTCTAATTTTTATTGATATGATGATTAGGGCTCTTTTGAAGAGAAAAGAAGGGCAAAAGTAATTTTACACCTGTTCAGCATTAGAATGTTTGAATCAATAATTTCAAGAATAAAGTGAATTAAAATATTCTCTACCTTTTGCTTGGTTCAAAGGCACTTCTTTATGATCTTTCAAAAGGCTCTCACCATTTTTCTTTGGAAACTTGATAGTCTGCCTCCTCACAGGGGGTGTGCTGCTGATTGTCTTCAGGAACAAAAGAACTAATATAAGCAAACATAATTTCAAAAATGCACTTTTATCCTGTACTATACAAATTCCACTTTCAGGACTGTGTTCATTTTCTTAATACTATACTTTCAAAAGGATCGAGACAAATTGGAATAGATTGAAAGAAATGCAATGAGGATTATCAGGGCATAAAAGTTCTCTTGCAAGTAAAGATTTAGCCTTGAGAAAAGACAATTGGGAAATTGACAGGCATTCTTCAACTACAGTACCTGAGGTTGTTTCACTTAAATGGCCACAACCATTTACAAGATGTAAGAGTCTTAACCCAGTGTGCCCCAACTTTTCCAGCTCAGCGGACCAGCGGAGGCGTGGTGGGGATGGTTTTGCATGTGCTCGCCCACCACTTTTCCTGTTTGGAAAACAGGCTGCAGACCCCTGTCTTAATCTATAATGTAAATTTCTACAGGAACACATTTTCTAACTGACTGTTATACCAACTCCCTAATGCAACACTTTGGAATTTTCTAAACTATTGGTCTCCCATTTACTGGATGTCTTCAGGCATAAATTTTGTTTTGATTTCTTGAATTTAGGAGGAGATTAGGGTCAATGGTTTAAATGGTCTTTTTCCAGCTTTATGATTTAAGGATTTGAAGTTACACTCTCCGTTCATTTAAAGTTCAAGCCTTATGCACTGTGGATTTTTTTTATCTGAATATAGAGTATCTTTCAAGTAGCAGTTGCTACTTTAAATATAAGAGTTTATATTTACTTTAATATAAGAGTTCAAAATAACAATTTCAGAAATTATTTAAAAAAAAAATAACACTACTGAAATTAACATCAAAAATAACAAACAAAAAAACCCAGAAGTTATAAGTTCTTTAAAGCAGTTCAGTAGAATTAGCAATTTAGTAATGTTATTGTTTTCTCTTTAAAATTCCAATCCATTCTCCCCAAATTTACTGAGGAAAACATGCTATAAATGTGGGACCACTACAGCTAAACTGTTCCTGGTCAGGTTCTTAATATCTCCCCGTGTTTCCCCGAAAATAAGACCCTGTCTTATATTTTTTTTGAACCCCAAAGTAAGTGCTTAGCCTTATTTTTGGGGAGGTCTTATTATTTTGGGGTCGTGGAGCAAGATGGGGCTCCTCTTGCCATCTTAAATGATTTCCAACTCTGCGTTTAAATATTTTTGGGGAGGGCTTATTTTCGGGGGGAGGCTTATTTTAGCGCATGCGCTCAAAAGCCCGATTGGGCTTATTATCAGGGGATGTCTTATTTTCCGGGAAACAGGGTACAGAGAGAAGTGCTCAAATTGTTTCGAGTCAAAACTTTTTATCCTTTGTATGCATCAGCAATATCCCAGCACTATTTTTTTTTATTTTTTTTACAGAATTAGAACATTTCTCAGATTTTAAAATTATCAGGGAATGCTTGAAAGCCAAATCATCTCTATTACAGATAATAACTCTGAAATATTTAGGTCATTTGATGTCATGCAAGAATGGTTCAGCCTTCTGGAGCCAAGTAGAAGGAGCAAACTAAGAAAGAACTGTGGTTTAGTTAAAAATAATAATGAACCAAAACTTTTATTCCTTAAAGTGCAAACCTAGCATTTTTAAACTAGAAATTCTGAAACCAAATGTACAATTGAGACACAACTAACAAAATATGTTCTGAATGTTGCTATCCTAGTATGTATCCATTTATGACAAGATTCAGTAGTCCATCTGCATTTGAAAGACAAAGGTCACTCTTTTGAAGACAGCAAAGTTCACATTCTGGACAGAGAGGTCCACTGGTTTGAAAGAGAGGTCAAAGAGGCCATCTATGTTAAAATTGGGCAGCCCTCTCTCAACAGAGGGGGAGGGATATAACACCACCTATCTCCTGTCTGCAACACTGTCCTTTCAACAGTCCCAAGAAGGTTCCATACCCTTTTGCACTCTGGTTCAAGTGACTCTGAGGATACAGATAAATCCCCAAGTGGCCTCAAGGACTCTCAGAGAGCTAATGAAGACCTTCAGAGTGCACTAACAATCAGATGACTGCAAAGAATATAAATCAGTCTGTTCCCCACTCCATTCCATTCAGTTCAGTCAGAACTGAACAAGCTTCTTGGATGAGAAGCAAAACGTTATAGAGGAAAAAACCAATAAAGTCCAGCTGCCACCTTCAGATTACTCAACAGATTATTCCTTTAGGCTCAGGGAAAGTACAATCATTTCCAAGTTAAATTGTACACACAGTGGATTTTTCAATTCATAATACTCTCAATTTGTAGGAATCCAAAATATCTACAAGCACCTGCTTAAAATTTCTATCCTTATCATCACTCCAGAATAATTTACATATAGTGAGAAAAAAGAAATCTTACAGGTGATAAGTAGTTGGCGCCTCCTTTGTTTATAGTGATATTAAATGCCTGATCTTGCCGTATCCGTTCCCCACACCAGTACTGCATGCGCGGCTTAATACACCGCCCACTACGGGTGAAACTTTTCTCACTGTCATTCTGTAAATCAGTTGTTTTCATCTGCTTACCTATCAAGGAAAACAAACATGCACAAAAATATTCTTCAACAACAACAAATTTCTGCCTGTGTAACAAGGTAAATTGACTGTAAATGTAAACATAAAGTTAGAAGCACCCTCATAAATGATCCAAGGAAAAGATGAAGTAGCTCTAGATTAACCTAATGTTCAAATGCAAGTAAGCTAAATGGCAGGAAACAAAGTTGATTAAGAGATTTAATTGTCTTAATCAACTTTTATTAGCTTAAGATAACCGGAGTCTATAGAAGCAACAGTTATTGGTAATGAAAATACTTTTGGGGGCTTTTTTAAACATTTAATATGAAAAGTTGTTTCCTGCCATATAACTTACTTGCATTTGAACATTAGGTTAATCTAGATATACCGTATTTCCCCAAAAAGAAGATCCAGTCTTATTTTCTTTTGGGCCCGAAAATAAGCACCACGTCTTATTTTCGGGAGATGTCTTACCCGCTTACCTTAGGACCACCGCAGCCAGGCCTACCACGCTCCGACACCTGTCGTGCTGCTGCCCAACTTCTTGCAATCACTTGCAGCCAGATGCCCCATGGCTCACTGCGCCAGGGCCGCCACTCAAGGTAGGCCATGTGGCGTGTCACGTCATTGTGTATGCAAGGGGCAGCACAGGTGTGATGCGCCATGTGGCGTCTGGCCACGAGTGGCCACAGAAGTCAAGCAGCTCTACGACAGGTGTCAGGGCATGCAAGGCTGTCCTAAGGTAAGCAGGTGCGGGACACATGGGGCAGCTCTACCCCCCACCCCAGCTTGATTTTTACACATGCACCTCGCCCCACCTCGTACAACCAGACGGTGGGATGGAGTGGGTGGAATCTTAACTAGGGCTTATTTTTAGGGTAGGGCTTATTTATTAGGCATGAAAAATCAAGCTAGGTCTTATTTTCGGGCAAACACGGTAGCTATTTCACAACCCATGGAATACATTCTCATCGCTGTATATGGAGCATGGTATTAACAGGGGTAGTGGATTAATTGGGCTAATAAAGTATTTCCTCATTTAGCAACCAGTCTGTTAAATTGGAAGTGAAATGGTTACTAAACAAAAGTGACTGAGGAAGAGAAAGAAAGACACATACTACAAAGATCACTGGTTGCTACCATCTCATTTAGGTAAAGTTCTCTCGTACAGCTATGCCAGCATTATTTTCACTTCAGCATGCAGTCGTTAGGCCCAAAATCTGGTTGTAAGTGCGCAATTTTTATTACTGTTTCCCATTGTGAGCAAAAGTATATGTCATAGGAAATTACTAGGGTTAGGAACATCATAAATACAACAGTATTTTTTGAAAAGACCGATATCTTCCCCAAACAAAGAAAATAATATGCATACCATGTATTTTATCATTTTGCAGAGGTAATACATCATAAGTTGTGTTTTTCATTTTATATTTTCTCTCAATATTTTGTGGCAGATCCAGTTCTGAGCATTCGTTTATTTTTTCACTATCACCACTTACAGGAAATGCTCTCTCTTCTTTCCTAAAGATTTAAAGGTTTGCATAAGTAGTATTAATCACCTCAATCTTTTAAGCAGATTTCATATTTTCTTTAAACTATTTAAATACTGGTAGCAGTAATTATGCTGCAGCAGCAGCTCTTTTCTGAAGTAGTTTGTTTAGATAGGATACAAGGAATTAGGTGAAGCCTGAGATGCCTATCCAGAACCCAAATTGTTCTAGAAGGCTATCTTCAAAAGAAAATGACAATTTCAGTAACCCCAAGCCCTGCTTTCATCCATTTCCTCATAAACATCTTTGTTTCTTAGGTCTCTGCCTAAAGTAGCTAGAGAAGGCAGAAGTTTTCCAAACTTTTGGCTGCAAAACCAGGATATAAACTTCTCAAGTGGAATCGTCTTTTTTAAAAAACTTAACTTTTATGGAAGGATTCTATGCAACAGTAAAATAAATCACAACTAAGAAAAGAAAAAAGAAAAATAGTGAATACAGAAAAAAGAGAGGAAAGGAAAAAGGGGGAAAAAAGTATTGGGTGGCTTATTTGGCTTATTTCAAAGAGACATGGATAACCAGTCTTTCCATTGAGGCATTATTGACTGTGATTTGAGGAACCATCAGTAGAAATACTCTGGAAATTTACTCTAGAAGATAAAATTAGTACAGACTACCTGAGGTCACAGACTAAATTGCATTACACTGGTGTCAGAAGCACTGAAGCACTTCTGGGTTGAAAGGATTAGCCGGTGATATCACTATTGCCCAGGGGACACCCAGTTGGGGGTTCCTTTCATGTCCCTGGCAAAAGCTGGAGTGAAGGTCAGGAGATCACCCCACCCCAGCACTTGGGTTTCAAATGTGGGCTTGCTAACCTTCAATCCAGCACCCTAACTATGCGAGCCATCGTGCTCCTACAGACTAAATACACAGTATAAATAAATGTTGTAGACATTTTACAGTTTTTCTTAAATATTTTGAAGATTGAAAAATTCTTACCAACAATCACAGCTATCACAACGACTCAAAAACATAAACATTTTCAGTGACACTGACCTTTTCATATAACAAAGCAAATCATCAACAAGCATTTTCCAATTTCTTGGGATTCCTGTCCCAAACTTCTTTATGAATGTAGGTGGTATTCCTGTTTGAAACAAAGGTATAGTCTTTGGACAGTTGTTATGTTTTAGAAGGGTGCTTCTTATACCCTTCTTATTTTTTAAACCTTTGGAGGAGATCAAAACAGGGATAATCTTACAGGATTACAGAATTTTAGGGAAATTCCTAAATACCTTAAATCTGTATTATACCCCCTTTCTTTTTGTAATGCTTTATTTTTATGCAAATATTATCTTGGAAACTTCTAGATAGAGGAGTTATGCATTGTAGAAATTATGACATCTAAGACTCTACTCAAGCTGATGCTATCACACAATCAGCATTAAGTTAAATTGAAAAAAAGTATTTTGAGAGGAGGGTGCATATAAACATGAAAAGTAGCTTAGATCATATTGGGCAAAATGCATAAATAAAATGAGAGTACAGATTTCTGTACCCCTTCCAAATTAGAATGGCCAAGTGATCCCTTTTATGAGTGTTTCAATCATCCACTATCATTTTACAGTCATATTAAGCAAATATAGCAATAGATATATTAAATATTGTCCTTCCTGCAAACACTATTACTTATTCAAGCTATCATTTGAAACAAATTAATATTTAGTAATGTGGTATAGTTTTAAACCTTATATGACAAGCACAGATCAGACATATGTTGTTGTTAGATTTCAATGAATACCAGAAGGGAACTGGAAGTAATAAAGTACCAGTGTTCAGTAGCACAGTGATCAGTACTACCTCTTATATGTGTTATCCTACTTCAGTCAGGGCAGTTGCCTTATGATTCCCAATGTAGGGCAATATAGAGCTCAAAAATAATTACTAGGGACTGGCAGTTTAGGTAATAGGTCAGCATAAATAGTTGGAAAAGAAGCAGCAAGGTAGAAGCCATTTTCACAAGCTTATAAAAATTCCAGGCTGCCACTGTGGCTTTCCTTTTCTCTTACCTTCTTTCTTCATGTTAACTTCATCAATACGCCCTTCTAACACGTAGATATTTCCTGTCAAGGTTTTGACTTGATTGTGTGCAATACGTTCTACAATTACATTGCTATGCCAGAAGACATTACCCATATCTCTAAAATAAAAAGGACATAGTAGCATAATTTGAAAATAATCAATCTCACCATTTTTTACTTCCTTAGGATCCCAGCTCAAAAAGTAATGTGAGCCCATTATAATTTTTTTCTCCCACTTCCCAATGTACGTGTTTTATATTGTGAATTGTGTATCTTACTATGTGGATAAGACAGACTTATCGTATTTTCTTTATGAAGAAATATTTGCAGCCATTTTTCGAATTTGTTATAAAGGACTTAAAGCCTTTGTTAATTGTTCTATTTAACTGTTACAAGATGGACCAGACAGAATAAATTTTGATAAATACACAAGTCTATTCAAGATGTAGGTAATATCTAATCAAGATGTAGGTAATATCTAGGATATATTCAATTTACTCTTGGGAACTTAAATTGTAAGCCACATTATGCATTCAAGATTAAACAGAAACGTAGTCTGAAAACAAAAGAAATACACAAAGGAATTTAGTTAATAATCAAAGCCAATCAATCATTTACATTACAATGCCCAGCAAAAGTTACTACAATTCAGTACCTAAGCCCCATGTTTTTTTAGTTTTACAAAGTGTAGGTTGCAAAGGAAAAGAGTGAGTAAGGAGCTGGATATCAAGATTTTTTTAAAAAAATAAATAACATGGGAGAGGAGATAACTGTCATCCACAGTACAGGTAATCCCCCGGTTACAAGAGTTCCCTTAGCAAATGTTTGAAGTTATGCGATAAGCTCCCCCTAGCATTTACGAACAAGTCCCAAAATGACAAATCTTGCAGCACCAGTGCAATTGTTTGCCCATATGAACAACCGCAGAGGCTCTGCAACATTCGTCCTGCACGTTGCCGGCCAAAATGGCAGTTTGGGTGCGCCCCTCCATTCAGGCCTCCAGCCTCCCCCAGCATGTTGCAGGCCGAAATGGAGCTTCTGAGGAGCAGATCCATTCCTCCAACGCTCCGTTCGGGCTCCAGAGACCTCACCTGGCATGTTGCAGCCTGAAATGGAGCTTCTGAGGGGCGGACATGCCGGGGCCTAAATGGAGCTGCAGAGGAGCGCATGTGGCTGAGAGACTGGAGATGAGACTGCTTGCTGGCTCTTCACATGGTGACCCGGCGCAACAGGTTCGGTGGGGCGGGGGAACCAATTGTGAGGAGCATGAAGTATTTCAGTGTGTCGGGGAGGCTTTGGATAGTCTTGGGCAGGTGGCCTGTTCCATCAGTAGCCCCCTCCCCCCCATGGCCTTCCCCATCCCAAAATACCTCATGTACACTTAACGAGCCTCACATTCGATTAACAAATGTGTGGGCAAGAGGGAGTGATCTTGTTCAAGGTGCGAGATTCACTCTCATGAATCCTGGGGTTACAAATGGAATGGGCAGGCTCCATTATATTTGTAACTTGAGGACTACCTGCATTACTTGGAAAATAGGATCAAGGAATCAATCCAAACTGAAGTTTTCATTCTTACAAAGCTGTCCACTGCTAAATTTATGGCATAACAACTGCTCCATTTAATTTTGCTTATTTTGCTTTCCTTTGTTTTTTGTTTGAGCGATTGTCTGTATTTATAATTTTTCTTTTAAATTGCTCTACGCTCCTCAGAGATAAACTTCAAGCTTATGGAAATAAATCCAATAAAATAATTCAATACTAATTCAATACTAATATTAATTCAATACAAGACTAATGCAAGGACCATCCATGACAGTGATTAAAAACCATGTAGACATATCTGAACAAAACTGAAAAGCAATCACTTGCCTCCGTATTCCTTCCAGACGCACAGCAGTATTATCATTGATCACTCTGATTCCCCATTCATTGATACATATAATCTCTTTTTCCTTTGAGAACTAAATTAAAAAAAATAGGGAATATAATTTTTGCCATAATTATTGGTTTTCATCCAACTGAAAAATCATATAATGTATACCGACAGTTCAATGACATTCTCAGATTCATATTTCTTCCTTATATTTGTGATCACTACTTAAATTCAAACTGTGCATGTTTTAAGATTTGAACCTAAATATTAAATATTTTCTTCTGAATTTATGAAAAAAAGAACTTTCATAGCTAGTGTGGTAATGTACCCTTCCTATCATATATAAGTTATACCACTCAAGCAAATATTTGTAGAGAATGATATACACAACGCCATGGGTGCCCATTTATGTATATTGTTAGTATTATAAACAATCCCAAAGTAGGAACAATCCAGGAAAATCTTGAAGTTTACAGATTTATTTATTTTTTCAAATTCTAAGTTTCTGAAATTATTCTGAGATTCTGAAAGAAATGAAAATTCCATTATTTTATTACAGAAACTTAAAAACATTTTTTTTAAAAAAAATAGATGTTATTTTTCTAATAAAAATTGCAGGGACATAGCATATCTCTGGATCATTTATTCGACCTCTGATCTTCACAGTGGTATAAACAAATGGACTTGCCTCCTTTAGGGAGATGGGTGGTCTATTAATAAAAAAATATAAATAAATAAATGTAAATAAGATGCAGTAGTTTCCAGGATTTTTAAAAAAGTATAATTATTTAAAGAAAGAGCTTTTTTTCAGATTTATGGCTCTTCAAAATTATTCTTCCGTAAAAAATCTAAAAGAGCAATATGAAAATAAATGATAAGCTAAATTAAGCTGCAATTAGGGCTGAGAATGTAATCTATTGTCCACAGCTGCCAGGTGATGCCAAGAAAAGCAGCTATTTTAAAATAGCAAAACAGTTGCTTATTCATTTGCTTCAACACTCAAAAATACCTTTCTGAAACAGAACCTGAAGCTTTGTGCAAGTCTACTCATTTACATTTTTCAATGAAGTAGTTAACAGAAAATATCCTGGTGAACCATTTATGACCCATACTGATGTAGTAGGAAAAAAATGTAACACAAGAAAAGATAGTTGCCTCTTTTAGTTATGTTTAATTGTGATTGACTATGGCTGGTGTGCATTGTTTTTCCAGCCAGTAGGATGGATAAAATAAAATAAAAGATTCTACCTTTTCATTTGTGCCTGTGTCAGGTTCATCCAACAGCACCTTGGTAACAGGCTGTCGTTTCCTTGGTATATGGGCTTTTGGAGTAGCAAAAATTGTATCACACAGATATTGGGAAGGTTTTTGTGGCGAAACACTTAAATTTTCTCCTGTTTTTTGGCCATATATATTTTTGGATGGAGTCACCACTGCTTTTTCTTGAAGATTTCCAGATGCTCTTTCCTTCAAGAATTCTTTAGATTTAACATGACCATCACTCATAATCACAGGATTAGATATTATTGTAAAAGTTTCACTGGCCAATTCAGCAGGTTCCACAATAATCTTCTCTTTCTGGCTAACAGTAGTACTTAGGTATTCTTCATTAAAATTATTAATTTTTTTTGTTGGGTGGGATGTGATTAAAGGTTGCTTTGCTGTAGGTAAAGGAGAGACATTTTAAATTTAGTACAGTGAAACATCTCTTACAGGAAATATTCTCTTGATAGCTATTGTTTCAGAATGACTTGTTATGCCTAAATCATTTTTTTCCTCAGTCATGCTAACTTCTTAGACCAGTGATGGCTAACCGTTTTGCCATTGCGTGCCAAAAGCGGTGTGTGTCTTGCATGTGCGCCCACCCATAATTCTATGCACCCTGCCTCCCTGTGCATGCATACACACACACACACACACCCCCGCTTTTGGCATGTGATGGTACGGTGGGCCATTTTTCACCCTCCCCAGGCTCCAGAGCCTTTCTAGGAGCACGAGGGCAAAAACGCCCTTCCCCACCCCCCACAGGCAGGAAACGGCCTGTTTGCCGACTTCCGGTGGGACTGGAAGGCCCATGTTTTGCTCTCCCCAGGCTCCAGAGTCTTTCTAGGACCTTGGGGAGAACAAAAACGGCCTTCCCCACCCCCACAGGCTCTCCAGAGGCTGGAACGGCCCATTTGCCGACTTCCGGTCCCACCGGAAGTTATTAGACAATAACTTCTCAATAACAAGAAAAAGACAGAACTCTTTTTATTAAGATTTATGGATAGCCAACTAGAATAGTCTGATGGAAGACTAATTTTATGCATGGTAACTGCAACATAATTAATATGTGCACAGAGATGGAGGCATACTGAAGCTCCCAAAATTGTGGAATGGATTGTAAAGATGACAGAAATGGCAAAACCAAGCTATTTGGTAAAGGACAAAACAAGTACTTTTTATGGACATTTTACTGAAAATAGAAAAAAGCCAAGTGAATTTGAAAAACAATTAAACAAGAGGTTGAAGAGATTTCTGTAATATCAAGAGGGAGGAATGATAATGAGTTTGTTTATAACTGTTATAAAAATTGCAAGTTGCTTACTGTTTTGTTTCTTTAACTATTTTTTCTTCCTAATTGTTCGTTACATTTATCTTTTATTTATGTAAGTCTTAATAAAATGATGATAATGATATAGCCAGCTCTACCTATTGTGTGTGTGTGTATATCAATAACGAAGAGCTTGCTGAATGGTGCACATGCTATTTGATGACCATTTCTGTTTACTTATTTAATCTATTTATATGCCACCTATCTCACTGACAAGCAACTCTGGGTGGCTTACAAACATAAACAGGGGTACAAAACATTAAAATGTTAAATGTTAAATAAATCAAAATGAAATAAGTTAAAAATCAGAACCAGAATACTATGGGGCAAAGGTTTGAAAAAAACTAAAAGCAAATGATGAGTAAATGAATAAAAGCAACTACAAATTATTTGGCAGTTTGCTGTTTGGTTATTATAAATAGAATATTCCATCTTTTACAAGAAAATTATAAAGTGACCACAAGTTTTCAGGTAGAAGAATTGAAGACAGAATTTCAAGACAAAAATATATGCAAAACTTCTCATCACCTAAGAAAATTATTACCTTTCTGCAACCAATCTTCCTGCAACCTCTGTTTTACACGGGAAAAGAATTTGTTGGGAGATTCCAGAAATGGAGGACTTATTACTGTAGTACATATATTTTTGTTCACCTCAGTAAAATCTGTCACTGAAACTGAAAGAACAAAACCCACAGACAAACAGCTTTCAATACCTGATAGATTGAAAAATAACCTTTTAGAAAACATGGAATTTAATATTTGCATGGCAAAATACAATACAACTAATCTAACAGACAAGTATTATCACTGAGGAAGTTCAGATGTGCTTTTGCAAGTTCTCAGAGGTGCCCAATACATAATTTGACAATTAATTAATTATATGGTTATTTCTTCATCACTCTTTCTTGGTTGCTATTCTTAAGAAGTGGTGCTGGGAAACAATGATTCAAGTGTGGTTTAAAGCACTTCGTGCATGGTTTATGCACATAAAAATGAACAATAAGAGAAAGTTGGAGAAAAAAGCAATAGGCAATAGATGAAATGGGAAGGACAGCTTATTCAAAAATATTGGTGTTGGTCATCCAAGGTATCTGAGGAACCAACTTGCTACAATGGGATTGACCCAGCCACTTGTTCTGGCAAAGAGCACAGACCCCATCAGTCAAAGAATTTCAGCTAGTGGGAATTCTAGCAGTCTAAAGGAGCCTTTTCTGCCATGGCCCATCTGGAACATCTCACCACTGGAGGAGAGATCAACCTCCACCCTTCTAACCTTTAGGAAGAGCCTTAACATCTTGCTCTGCCAATTGGTGTCGGGCCCTGATGGAGAAGCTATATGCTAGAAGTGGCTGGTGCAGTGACCAGAGAAGGTACCACCTTTGCTCCGCTCTAAACTCATTATTTTTTTACTCTGTATGTAACCTTTTATCATTTTAATTTGTTTTTATGTTTATAATGGTTTTTTTTTTTAATTCAATTTCTTACTATATTGTTAGCCACCCAGAATCACCCCAAACAGCGAGATGAGTGGCATATAAATTCAATCAATGAATCCTAAAGGCGAGTCTAAATAATAATAAGGCAGGGAGCAGGTTGTCCAATTTCTATCACTGCTGGATAGAAGCTCTAGAGTTATTTTTGTAATTGTATCTCAAACATCTAAGTATGATACTAGAAGAAATTTGGAAGAAATTATATAACCAACCTGTTTTTACATTGGATTCTTCAAGAAAATCCTCATCCAGCTTTGTCTTTTGTTTATCTTCAACTATAGGTATTTTTTCTGATCTTTGTAGAAAGGCAGGTTGCCTTTCAGGAGTAAGAATATAATCTATAGTACACTTTGGGTCCAACAATTTAGCTTCTGGAGGCTTGTTTTTTTCTTTGACAAGAGATGCTCTTTGTTTCATTCTTGAGAAGATTTTTGCTGGAGATTCAAGGGATAATGGCTCACAAGCTTTACGTTTTTGAACGGCACTCCTTGTCAGGGGCTTAGTTTTCTGACATGAAATCATTCCCAGGATTTCTTCAGATGCTTTTATTTCACTGAGGTCAAAGAATTCTTGTCGATGTATACTGCCAGACATTAAAGTGGACTGGAAAACATTTATTCCTTTAGTCTCTTGGCCAGAGCAAACATTTTGGCAAGTAAGAACCATTGAAGGAGGAATTTTAGCTGAATCCAAAGTACAATTCATCTGGAATTTTACAAAATCCTTTAAAGGTGTACCACCCGGGATATTATGTAAGGAAACTGCTTTGAATGACATTTTTTCTTTCCTTTTAAAGAAAAAAAAGACATGTTAAAATTCTTCAATTTTCAAAAAGTACAGCATCTGCAAAAACAAAATCTCTTTATTATGCTCTTTTAATTAAAAAAATGTCTTATATCTGCAAATACAAACTGTATTCCTTTACATTTTTACTTAAAAAGGTGTCATAAAGTAACAAAAACAATCTCTGTGATACTAAATGCATCTAAATTCCCTAAATTATTTAATACTTAACTTATAAATGAGATATAATAATACCATATAATGACACTATATGTAACACTATATACAATTTAAATCCCTAGTGCAATTTTGAAAATTTAATAATAAAATATTAAAGGACATTTTCTTTCTAATAATATAAAGCTGTTGCATCATAGAAATTGCACCAGAATGATATGAGATTCGGCAATCACTCCATAAAAGTGTTGAATATATAATGTATGATATAACACTGGCATGTCCAACTTGAGGCCCATGGAGAGCTAGTAATGTGGCCGCACAAAATTGTAAACTTTTATATACATTTACAATTATATTATATACAGTTATATATTTTATATGCAGTCCAAAAAAATTCCTCTTCACCCAATGTAGCTCACACAAGCCAAAAAGTTAGATACCCATGATATAAAGAATACTAATTTTGTCTGCAAAATTCAAGAAAAGTAACAGATATTTGTACTTTACCAGCGTAAACAATTCATCAGGCACTTTAGCAAACACAAATGAAGTTAATTATTGCCATCAAAAGAATAAAAGAATGGAAATGGAAATGGGCTGGTCGCATAGCAAGAACCACTGATGGCAGGTGGACCAAGGCAGTCATAGAATGGATCCCACTTGATAAAAAGCATCAGAACAGAATAAGAGTTGGAAGGGACCTTGTAGGTCATCTAGTCCAACCTCCCCCCCCAAAAAAGCAGGAGACACTGCCTACACCATTTCTGACAGATCCAGTCTCTTCTTGAAAGTTTCCAGTGATGAAGCTCCCATGACTTCTGAAGGCAAGCTGTTCCATTGGTTGATTGTTCTCACTGTCAGGAAATTTCTCCTTATTTCTAGATTGCTTCTCTCCTTTGATCAGTTTCCATCCATTATTCTTTGTCTGGCCTTCAGGTGCTTTGGAAAATAGCTTGACTCCCCTCCTCTCTGTGGCAGCTCCTCAAATACTGGAATACTCAAATATCATGTCTCCCCTGGTCCTTCTTTTCATTAAACTAGACATATTTCAGCAACCAGTCCTCTAAACATCTTCGTTGCTCTTCCCCGCAGTCTTTCTAGAGTCTCAACATAAGCATTCACAAAAGAGACCAAAAACAAGATGGATCCACGACATCAGCAAGTATTGTGGGTTCAGTTGGCAAAGGAAAGCCCAGGACCAGATGGGTTGGAAACATGCAGAAGAAGCCTTCATCCTACAGTGGGTGGATAACGGCTAAAAGGATGATGATGATGATGATGAATATCCCTGTCATGTAGCTGGGCTAGCCTGATCTCCACGTGACAGATGGAAGCGCTCCCAAATCCAACCCAGACAAATCCTGGCAGAAAGAGGGTCCTACTTTTCAGGGGGCTGCCCTAAAGTCCCCGGGGCAACCATCCCCAACCTGGTGCCCTACAGACTTATGGAGGCTTCGACTCCTTACCTTAACCAGCCCCAAACGGAGGAAATAATAATAATAATAATAATAATAATAATAAAAAGATTGAAATAACATTTTTTTAAAAAAGAACCCACCAGAGGATTTCCCGCCAATACCCTAATGGGAATAGTAGCGTTCTCATCTAGAGCTCGGAAACCGCTTTCGTTGGAGTGCAAGCAAAATCTTCTCCCACTCACAAAGTCCCCTCCCTCGCCGAGCAGCCATTTCTCCCCCCCACCCCTACCTTCTCTCCCTCCCTCCCTCCGTTCGTTCGGCCGTCCGTCAGTCAGTTCGCAGCGCAGACGTCAACCGCCACGCGATTCGAATTCCTCGCGCGCCGCCCTCCCTGTCGCTGATTGGGCTAACGAGCGCGGAAGGCTTGCGGACGTCCTCAAGAGTCGCCGCTGCGCCGGCGCGTGTCTTGGAGGGACATTTTGGAGGCTGGCAAAGACCGCCAGGCGAAGGGCGGTTCCTTTAGGATGACGTTGGGGGCGATTTTTTTTTTTTTTTTTTTACAAAAGAATACAGCGCCTCGTCGCAACAACCAAAGGAAGAGCAGCCGGAGCGGCAGCGAGAGTGTAATCCGCACCAACGTTATATTTTCTGCAAGCAGTTAGTTGAGACCTATGTATAGTTTGTTAGTTATCCGTTAGTTCACTATTTATTTCATTCGCAATGATAAAGAATCATCCTGTCCATATTGCAACGAAATAATTGTATCTGTAAAGGGCCCTTGGCAGCTCTCTGAACTTGTTTTCTTGCAATCGTTTCATTGAGGATCCAGGTTGTTGGGGGAAATGGACTGACTCTGTAAACCGCTTAGAGAGCTGTAAAGCACTGTGAAGTGGTATATAAGTCTAAATGCTATTGCTATTCCCCAAACATCATTTGAGTAAATGAAACGTCTGCAAGAAAACAACCAAGGCCAGAAAGCACCGAGGACTCCTCGTTTTAACTTGAGCTACAAATATCCTCCCCTATGGTTTATTGTATGTGCATATAAACATGCTTTTTTTAAAAAAAAAGTTTTATTTTTAAACATTCATCATCCATTCCAATTACAAGTAGTGTGTCGGTCGGTTACAAATCTTTTGTGCTTCATCTCCTTCATCTTTACAAATTCTCTAATTTCTCACATTATCAATCTAACATATATCTTTATATCATTATTCTCATTTGTCACTCATTTAACAATGGCATTTTCATCCCATTAAAATCATTTCCATAAATTATATTATTTATTTATTATTTATTTATTACATGTATTTATATGCTGCCATTCTCCCGAAGGACTCAGGGCGGCGAACACAAGTTAAGAAACAAGTACAATAAAATCATAATTTAATCCAAATAATTAATTAGTAGTAAATAATAAAGCCCGGAATCAGTCTCAGCCTATTTGTTTGAAAAGCCAAGTCTTCAAGTCCCGACGGAAGGAGTGGAGATCAGGAGCCATCCGGAGCTCAATAGGTAATTCATTCCATTATGACATCTATTTTGTGTTTCATATTTCATTTCCATGTTTTATTATCTAGCCATTGGTAAAATAAATCCCATATCTTATAGTAATGTTTATCTTCCTGTTCTCTAATTTCAAATGTCAATTTGCTCATTTCAGTACATTCCATAATTTTCCTAATAACTTCATCTTGTTTATATATAAACAATGTATAAACATTCTTATAACATTTCAGTAATTCATACATACATACAGAGTTCCTAGGGCTGCTATGTGATGCTGTCCCTATTTACTGGACTTCAGTTTCTAAATTTTTAACTTCAGGAAGTGTGTCCCAAGAAACATTTATCTGCTTTCCACCTGGGATTTTTTGTTATTTCTTCAACCTATGCTTGGCTCATCCATCTCATTAAGCAGACTTACAACAGTTCATTTACTGACTATTCAAAGTTACAAAGGCACCGAAAAGAGTGAGTTATGACTATTTTTCACACAACCGATGCAACATCTCCATGTTCAATATTCAGATCCTTGGCAACTGATTCATATTTGTGACAGTTGCAATATCCTGGGATCATCTTGTTGGAAAGTAAAATCTGGTCCGGTTCCAAGCCGTGAGAAAGATGCAGGAGGCAATGAATTTGGAGGCAAACTGCAATTGGAAAGGAGTTCTCCACTTCTTTAGGAATCAGAAGCGAAGTGACACAGCAGTCGGCTCTGGGACAGCTGCTCATCTGGTCTAATGAGCGGACAGACTTTTATATTGCTTTGGAGCTGTGTGATTGAGATTTCTGGGCTTGTTGGACAATAGGTTTCAAGTCTTTGATTATTCTAATTGTGATGGCTTGGTTTCCATTGTGGCTGGGAGGTCATGCCCTGTCCTTGAGGTCGGGTGGGGGAATGCAAATTTGAATGCCATTGTCTTTATATGCTTAATCTATTAGGTTTGCAATGCTCTCTACATGGGGCTCCCCTTGAGGAGCACCCGGAGGCTCCAACTGGCACAGAGTGCGGCTGTGCGGGTGGTTAATGGGAGCAACATGGCGCTCCCGTGTGACACCTCTCCTGCGCGAACTGCACTGGCTCCCGGTGGTCTTCCGGGTGCGCTTCAAGGTTTTGGTTATCACCTTTAGAGCGCTCCATGGCTTAGGACCTGGTTATTTACGAGACCGCCTACTACCACAAGCAGCCTCCCACCGGCCGGTACGCTCTCATAGAGAGGGGCTCCTCCGGGTGCTGTCAGCTAAACAATGTCGACTGGCGGCCCCCAGGGGGAGGGCCTTCTCTGTGGGGGCACCCACTATCTGGAACGAGCTCCCCCCAGAGATACGGAGGATCCTGGATCTACGCACTTTCCGCCATGCTCTTAAGATTCTCCTATTCCAGCAAGCCGGCCTGGCCTAATTTTCTCCCCTGTTTTAAAATTCTTTTAAATCAAAATTTTAATCTGTTTTAAATTATTGGGATTTTTTAATTGTCTCGGGCTAAATTATTTAATCTGGTTTTAATTATATCTTTTAACTTTTGTATCTATGTATATTATTTTGTGCCTGTTCACCGCCCTGAGTCCTTCGGGAATAGGGCGGTATATAAATCTAAGAAAAGAAAAGAAAGAAAGGTTTTGTCTCTCTGTGCTGGCTGTAGTCAGCAGCACTTTGCCTATGAATAGATTGCAACAGGCAATGCTTTTGTTTATGAATGGAGCTGTCCAGTTATTTAATTTCCATTCACAAAGAGTGTTCTGCTTTTATGAATGGATACAAGTTTTCCATTCACAGGCACTTTGGCTACTTGCAAAAACTGCTGGGGTGATTTCCTACTAGGAGGCGGGGGATGCAAGTCAGCTCTTGTCAAGGGGGAGCTTTCTCCTTTCTTTTGGGAAGGAGATTTCCTTGACTATTTTAGAAGAAAGAACAAAGTGATCATCTTTTGCGACCTTCTGACAAACAAAGCCAAAGCCAGATTCACTTAACAACCATGTAACTAATTTAACAACTGCAACGATTAACAGCTTAACAACTGAAGCAGGAAAGGTAAAATTCATTTAACCAATGTCTCAGCAACAGAAAATTTGGGCTCAGTTGGGGTTGTAAGTCAAGGACTACCTCTAGTTTGTTTTAAAGCTGGCTTCACCCATTGTGCTAAACCACAAACAATAGCTTATCAACTACTGTGGCTGTTACTAGGAGTCGAAAATAACTTGATAGCACATGATAGATTGGCTGTATGTATGAAACAAATGGCTTTTTTATCATATGAAAGAGTATAAATCTTTGAGTTTAATGCCAAAATCTCGACTCTTATTATTTGTAAATACTACAGTAAAAAGTTTCATTCTTCTGAAATCTTACAAAACATTTAAATATTGCTGAGTGAAGAGGTGCCACAAGGTATTTCCAGGACGCTTGTTCTCCTCTGAATGAAAACTCAATTTCACATAGTTTTTTAAAAAATCAGAAACCTATGCAATCTGTTTATTCTTCTTTGGACACATTATGCGAAGACCTAGTTCTCTGAAAAAGGCTGCAACGCTGGGAAAAGTGAAAGGAAAGGGAATAAGAGGATGATAAGCCATAAAGTAGATTAAGGGCAGTGAGTGTTTACAGTGGCAGTGAGTCCACTGTTGGAAATACCACAAAGACCAGATTAGGGACAGACGTCATGGAGAAAAACTCTGTGTTTGCTAAGAATAAAAAATGACTTGACATACAATCAGTCAGTGTAATCTGTTTGCACACATAGGAATTCAGAATTAATAGATATTATGTCATCAGTATAGTATAGTACAGTACAGTACAGTACAGTACAGTATAGTGTAGCTTTTATTGTCATTGTACATCATATATACAACTAAATTGATTAGTTGACCAATTGAAAGTCAATTGAAATTTGAAAGACTTCTACAATATAAGTTTGTCAGAAATTACTATCTATTCAACCTGTTGGAGTTCCATTTGCTGCTGTTGTGCAAATAACTGTGCAACTATTTACTTGTTTATTCATCCACATACATTTGTGTTAATTGGAATAAAAAGGGGAAGAAGGGAGAAAGAGAAAGCCAATTTAGCTAATTAAAACAGTTTTCCTATTTGATTGCTGGTACCTATGGAAGCTGTCCATGCAAATAAGAGCTTGTGGGGGAGGGATCAAGATTCTCAAATCAATGAAGGCTTTAAATGGACAAAAATAATTTCCCCGGTACACAGGGAGGGAAAAGATAGGAGAATGTAGGTAGTATACACAGAGATCAGACTAAAACTCCCTAATGTGATTACTGAGGAATAAGAGTTAGTGAAATCAGTGAGACATATTCCAGAGTAAATATATACTGTTTATGCTTGCTGAATGAGATGCCCATAGTCTTCCCCTCTTTTGTGTTTGCACGATTGTGTATGATTTCATAGAACCATAGGGCTTGAAGCAGAGATGGTATTCAACCAATTTGCACTGATGTTTGCAAACCATTGATGGAAATTTGGCCAAGGTTGCCAAACCGGTAGCGATGGCCAATTGGCCAACCCCCCCCGAACTGGTCCCCCGGACGCCACTCACTCACCCCGCCCACCATGTTCTTTGCTGCCATGTTCTTTGTACACACGCATCCCATTGCCTTACAAGTCCAATGGGATGCACATGCGCGAAGAACATGGCAGCGATGGCAGCAGCTTTTTCCACAACCTCAGGTACTTTTCAGTGGCCTGCGGCCAGCTGCCACAGCTGCAAAACAGCTCTCAAAGGGGCT